CACGGTTTAAGCTGCAGTAAAGGAAACACGTTAAGAAATCACATCCTTTGCTTAAGTTGCAAACATTGAAGAAGAATTTCAATGCTTTTTTTTTTGAATAAATTTTAAAGTCTTAAGTATATATTATATATTTTATTTATATTATTTATAAATGTCATATCATACATATCAGTTTCAACCGTTATCTATAATCTGTGGTATAACTTGACACTATTAGAATGGATAAACAGTGCAAGCCGACTACTAGATCTGCCGTATTATTCTTAAAGAAAATCTCATAAGATAAATAGAGAAAATTAAGATTAAGATAAACGTATGAGTTCCCTTTAGTTTAAGAATCCAAACTTTATTTAGTTTAAACCATATGAAAATATTATAAGAATAAAGATAGAGATAAGCCGGTTCCTGACAATGGAACGTGATTCGAATGGATCTTCTTAAGTATGAATGCTTCGCTTTGCATTTCTCATAATTTGCTAATCTCAGTCCAAAATAGAAGTTAACCCTAAGCTGCTAATTAACCTCAATTTTGATTTATTTTAACAGAAAAACCTGCTAGCATTATTGATAATCCAACTAATTTTTAAGTTATGTAAGGTATTTGAATGGGCTTATAAGTTTACAAACAGTTAATTATGGATGTTTCTAAGTACTGGTGCATTCTGAGAAATGGCTGTGGTTGGCTACGAGATTCTATTCGCAAGAATAGGATATATATTCTTTATATATATATAGCATATATATTCTATATGCTTTCTTTTTACTAAACAACGAAGGCATCTGACCAATTCTTTTGACCAATTTGTATTTAATAGCATGATTGGAGAGGTTTTTTCTCTTCAAACATATATATTGATTTATATATATATATATATATTGATTATTAATATTAATATATATATAATAAATATATATATATAATATATATATATATAATAATATATATATATATATATAATAAATATTATAATAATATATATATATTAACATATATAATATTATAATATAGTAATATTATATATATATATATATATAATATATTAAATACATAGAAACCGTATATATAAGCACTATATATTGATATCGAACTTTGTATCTCCTCAGATATTTTGTATTATTTTGTATTATTAATAATTTTTATATTATTAATTAAATATATTTAATTATTTAAATATATTTAATCAAATTATTAAATTTTTATGTTGATTTATTATTAATGTTATTATTCATTATTAAATATAATTAATTAATTATAGATAACTATATCATGAAGTGCCCTTCTGCCTAAGTACCTGTATGAAAATTTTCTATTAGAGCGACTATTTTGTATGTCAGGGTATGAACGTGGCGTTATAGACGCTTATATTATTCTATTCACTTCTTTTGAGAGTTATGATATCAAAAGCTCTAGATAATAATTGAACAAAATAAATACTATCTGCCTAATAAAAGTAAAAAGGTTATTTCGTGGAGTATTCCTTTTTAATCAAGAGATTAACATTTTTTGGTCAAGAATTTCTCTTCTGAGAAATATATAATATAACAATGTATAATGTATAGATTCTTGTTTAACCTGATTTTTTACATTTACCCTGACAACTTTTAGTTCACTAACTATTTTTTCAACACTAAGTACACAAAAAGCATAAGAATGTTGTAAGTATTTTTAATACCTGCAACTGTATCTCTCATGAATAACAAAAAACTATAGCAAATAAATAAATAAAAAATATTTAAATACAAATATAAAAAGTATCTCATTTAATAATTAATAATTTAGTGATTATTAATTTAGTGAAAATATATGTATTAGTAATTTATTTGAAATTAATAGTGAATTGTAGATCACATTATCTCGCTTTTTCATCTAATATTGGTATTAGTAATGCTGGTATTATTAAGGTCTGTATTTTTCGTTTAAATAAATAATCAAAAATTTATTTATGCTATTTATTTATAAAAAAATAAAAATTTATTTTGTGAATTTTCAATATAATATTTTAATAATCCTTTTAGCAATAAAACTAGTACTCAAATTAATTAAATTACGTTTTTTACGTTTTTATATATTTTCACCTAATAAATATTTAATTTTATGTATTTAATTCCGTTTTATTTTATGGTATTAAAATATTTACAATTTAAGAGCCTTGCATATAAATTACCTACAATTTACTCTCTAACAAATTGCAGATTACTTTAACTCGAAAATAATCCTTTAATGTGTTAAGTAAATAACAACAACAACAACAATAATAATGCTACCAACACAAAAAAAGGATGCAATCAAATACATAATTTATTGCTTTCGCTGGTAGCAAAACACGTTAAACATGAAATACGTTAACAACACGTATTAAATGCTCTTTCCATCACATTCAATAACCCCACAATCCTTCTGGCTCGTACCACTTTTCGCACAACTTAGGTTTACCCACAAAGTGTTAGCTATTTCCTGCTCGAGAAATGGTTACGTTCATATCCTTGTTAGCTTTCATACATGTGGCCTTTGACCATTTATCCATGCTGCTACCACTGCTGCCACTGCTGCCAGTGTCTGTCTATCCTATCTATAGTGTTGACATAATGTAAATTTGATTAATTTTCATATCCTGCGGGAAAATGTGCAACTTCCTCTTCGCAAGCTGCTATTCGTCTGTAGTGGTTCTTCGCAGTAGTGATTAAATTGAGTGCCTAAGAATTTGGCTACACGCAACCGGAAATGGTCATATTAAGAGCACTAAAATACGGTACGGAAATTATATTAAATAATTTTGCACAAATGATTAATGAGACTGAAATCTTACAGTTTCTTCTCATATCCTTTGGATTTCTTCAGAAATAAGAAAAATATTTTGTAATTGTTTTTCCCATGAAACGCATTTATTTCTACCTCGTTTTGCTGTGCGGAATTAGGCCAACTATTTGCGCAAAATAAAAATCTGTGGCAACATTAAAAATTTAAAAAGCAAATGCAGTTGTAAAAAAAAGAAAAATAAAATACTAAAGAATAAAAATGACTTCTTGTTTATTTTTCATTCACTTTCCTTGCTATCGAGTAAAGTGGCAAGCAAACACTACTGCGTTCAGTACTTGGAAGGGGAAGTTAACCATGAATGGCATAGAAATGTATTTGATGGGTCAGCAAAGTACCGGGCTTAGATTTATTTATGCTTTTATTTATAGTTTTTCTTACTTTCTTTTTCCATCGTCTCTTTTGTAAGCATTTTACTTGCTATTGTACATCCTTGCTTAAGTATATTTTCAGCTTGATTTATGTCTACTAAAACGTTGGGCATGGCATTATAAACGCCGTTGATATACGTACAAACTGCATACAACACTTAAGTTGTCAACACAATTGAAAGAAGATTCTAATAGGCGGGGCTAAGATAAATATGTACTCATATTATGCAGTATGGACATAACCAGTAGACAGTTAATATTGAATTGGTCTAATTGTGAGTAAGATGAAGTTTAAATGCTAAACTAAGTATGACGTAAAATATTAACTTCTTGTTAATTAAATATGAAAATGGATGAAATTGAATATTATTTTCAATTCAATAGAGAGAAAGCAACTTAATGACTAAAGGGAAGCTATTACCTAAATTGCAATAATATACCTACGTATACGTATATGACAAAGATCAATCAAAAAAAGTGTATAAACAAAAAGTACCAGAGAGTCATGCATATACTTCAAAAAGAACAAGAAAAGCTTTTAGTTGCTGCAACAAAAAACTCAAGACAAGAGGAATAGATGTCTACTAAGAACTTCATAAGGGAACATATCATACAAAAACCCACTAATTATGTAAATGAAAATATACATATATGCAAATCTAATATAGATTTATAGCATTGTTTCCTCTGCGATAGCATAATAGTCTTTAAAGGACTATTATAACTTACTATTCTTCTGAATTTTTTACTTTTCTTTTTACTCACTGACATCAATTATCTCGAAGCTACAATAATAAATACTTCGATTAGTAAATAAATCTAGTATCAACAAAAACAAAAAAATGTATGCGAGGGCTGATAGGCAAGTCAGCTATAAATGAAAAACCAGTAAGCTAATACTAAGCTAACAGTAGCTCTTCTCCCTATTTGATATTAGTATCTCCTCAACGAAAAACAGCCTGACAATCATTCGAAAGGCTGAATGTACTCTGTTCGGTAGAATGAGTTGCTGGCATAAATGATATACTATAATCGCGGTGTTCCACTCCACTAATGGCATAGAACTGTATTAATCTCTAATTGCCATATGTTCGTAGAGAACATATATACTAAATTTTAAAAATTCTTTATATTTCTTTCATTTCTCATAAATGTTCAACTTAATTGTTTCAGAATGAGTTTGTACCACACAACGTATAAGTAACTTTTAAAAATTACTAAATAAGAATAAAACTCTATATAGAATATATATTATCTAATTAATTTATTCTGCTTTTTGGCCTGATTGTTTAAGTTTGTATTTAAATTTATTTATATTTTTTATTAAACTTTAAACTCAAATAGTATTTTAAGCAAATTTCTATTAAATGTATTCCTTTTATTAACTTTGTGCAATTTTTTACCTTTTTTTTTCTTTCATGTGCCATCAATTTTATGCCTGCTGATGACGCTGCTGTCGCTGCCGCCGCTGTTATTTGATGTTAACGTGGGATTTACATTTTTTATACATATGCTGACATGCATTGCCCATTCAACATATACACACACATATACATTTTTACACTTTATTGTGTCTTCGTATTGTCAACTCCATATTAACAACTCCATTTGGCCATTGATTTTTGTCGAAAACATATTGCAACGCCACACTTTGCATCGTTCCACTTTTCAACTTTTTCCTTACTTCCGCTTTTGTGTCACATAAATGCATAAACCTACACACAAATTCACATATATGAATATACGTATCTATTATGCACTTTGGTAAAATTCAACATATAAACATAAATGCACGTCCACGTCTACGTCCACAGCATATAGAAAATGTCAGTCATCTGATGTGTTTTGTAATGCACCCGGTGGTTTGGCACCTTCTGATGGTAGCCGTTTGTATGGTCCTTGCGTACCAGCTGAGAAACGCTGTGACGGTTATTTGGATTGCCGTAATGGACGTGATGAGGATGGTTGCACGGGCATACCATGTCGCTTGGATCAGTTTCGTTGTGCCAATGGAATGAAGTGTATTGATGCTTCACTTAAATGCAATCACAAAGACGATTGTGGTGATAAATCTGATGAGCAAGCCTGCAGTAAGTAAATTTAAAAATCTACTTAGTTTTCAGAGAATAAACAATGATGCCAGACTGAAGTAGGACTAATTAGGACCCACCCATACATTCTGCAGATGCAAATGAATGTTGCTTTCAATATACATCAATTTGTGTTCATTTTTTTGTTTAAAATTTTTTATGGTTAATTGTATAGAGAAAGATCAATATTTTCTTAACCCACTGTCATTTGCTCTACAATTTGAATAGAAAATATATAATATTTCTTGATTGTTTCATTTCCTAAAACATTTTCATAATTATTATTAAAATTCTAAAGAAGAATATTCAAAGATAAAAGATACTTTTATCTAAATAAAATACTTATTGTTCACACTTAAAGGAAAGAGAGAAAACATATACTCCTATGCTTTTGAAGAGAAAATAAATATAATTAATATGCATATATGTATATATGCACATTATATACAAAAATAAGGCACTTCGTATAAGTATATTACTAACAGTTTTAACTTCAATGAAACACTCATTTTTGCTCCTTCATAGTCTCGCATTATTGCACTACATTGTTGCACTAGATTTTTTCCCATTATCCTCAAAACAAATATTGTACTTTTATCGTATCACGTTAGGACGTTACGACTCAATTTTGTACACAATTTCAATATTTTTTCCGTAAACGTAAGTGTATCATAATCGTTATTGTATCAACAGATTTCCCACCCTGTCATCATGAACAATTTCGTTGCACGAATGCTCTGTGCATACCATCCAACTTTCATTGTGATGGCTATCATGATTGTGCGGACGAAAGTGATGAAGCTAACTGCTCGGCAATTGCATGTCCTGATAATAAGTTCCTTTGTCCCCGTGGCGGCTCGGACGGTTCACCCAAGTGCATATTAAAATCTAAGCTCTGCGATGGAAACCGTGACTGTCAAGATGGCAGTGATGAGGAAACTGCTTGTTGTAAGTGTTATGATGACAATACCATTATTGCAGTTGTTATGCCATTAATTCTCTTTTTATCGAATTGCGCTACATTCATCATTTTTGTTTTCAATTCCAGCCACTTCAATATGTCCCGTACTTGATTGTGAGCATAAATGTGCACCTTCACTAACAGGTGGCATATGTTACTGTCCAGCTGGCCAAAGATTGCATACAGATAATCGTACTTGTGTAGATCTGGACGAATGTACCGAATGGGGTCATTGTGATCAACTGTGTACCAATACCGAAGGCTCTTACACTTGTCAATGCGCCCAAGGTTATAGTCTAATAAATAATTCGAAGTGTATAGCACCTGATGCTAATAATTTGCAACTGATCTTTGCACATGATCGTGCTGTGGTGCGTATGTCCTCACATGGTGGAGATCCACGCGTTTTAGCGAATGCCACAGCCGCTTCTGGTGTAGCATATCATTATCAACGTAATACACTTTATTGGTCGGATGTGAAAACAAGAAAGGTGCAATCTTTGCCTCTTGACGTCTATAACGGTGCTATTTCTCCTCTTGACTTGACATTGCCTGGTACATGGGCGCCAGTTGCACTCTCAGTTGATTGGGTGGGTGATAAAATTTATGTAGCAGATTTAATTGGACAAAAAATTGATGTTTTTGAATTGAGCGGGCATTGGCATGCAGTAGTTTTAGGTTCCAACTTAACTAGTCCAGCTGACTTGGCATTAGATCCCACTTCTGGTTTAATGTTTGTTGCTGACGGTGGTCAAGTTCTGCGTGCGCATATGGATGGTACACATGCACGCTCTATTGTATCAGAAGCTGCTTACAAAGCATCTGGTGTGACTGTTGACATAATTGCGAAAAGAGTTTTCTGGTGTGATTCACTCCTTGACTACATTGAATCAGTGGATTATGAGGGTAATTATCGTGTGATGATCTTACGTGGCCAACAGGTTCCGAGTCCTTCACGTTTAGCACATTTCGAAAACCGTATTTACTGGACGGATGCCACTAAGCAGGGTATAATGTCGGTTGACAAATTTGCTGGAACGACTTCCATACAAGTTACTTACAAAGCCAAAGATATTCGTGACCCCAAAGGTATTGTGACCGTACACGCACTTAGTCAACCCAAGGTGTCTAATCCTTGTGGTAATAATAACGGTGGCTGCAATCATATGTGTATTGTGACTGCTGTCAAAGGTGCGCCCGCCGGTTTAGGTTATCGTTGTGCTTGTCATACTGGTTATCAGCTGCAGACTGATCTGAAGAATTGCAAAATTGTACGCGAATTCCTTATGTACTCGCAACAACGTTTTATTAAAGGCAAGGTGCTTGATCCTGTCATTGAAGGGTTTAGCGATGCTATATTACCAGTGGTCTCTAGACGTGCACGCTTCGTTGGCTTGGACTTTGATGCGAGAGATGAATTTATTTATTACTCTGATGTCTTGCAAGATGTTATATATCGTGTACATCGTAATGGAACAGGCCGTGAAATAGTTTTAGCCTCTCAAAATGAAGGTGTTGAGGGTCTCGCTGTGGATTGGGGTTCTAAAAATCTCTACTATATTGATTCTCGTAAAGGCACTTTAAATGTGATGTCCACTCGTAATGTTACTTACCGTCGCACATTGCTCAAAAATTTGAAACGTCCACGTGCCATAGTAGTACACCCTAATCGTGGTTATATATTTTTCTCCGAATGGGATCGCCCAGCTAATATAACTCGTGCCAACACTGATGGCACTAACTTATTAGCTTTTAAAAATGTTACCCTTGGTTGGCCAAATGGTTTGTCGATTGACTTCAAAGAAGATCGCGTTTATTGGTGTGATGCTTTACTGGACCACGTTCAACATTCTAATCTAGATGGTACTGATATAAAGACAGTAAACTCTCGTTTAGTACGTCACCCATTCTCTATTGTCATACATAATGAGTGGATGTACATAACAGATTGGAGACTGGATGCTATCATACGTCTACACAAACTGACCGGAGAGCAAGAAGAAATGATGGTACGTGAACCACAAACGAATCGCTTATATGGTGTTAAGGTTTTCAGTCGCGATGTGCAAGTCATCGCAGAAACCCAACCTTGTCATGTAAATAACGGTGGCTGTGAGAAAATATGTTTTGCATTGCCTCGAAATGACAGCTCAGGCCAATTACAGTCCAAATGTTCCTGTCCTTATGGCGAACGCTTGGCTGATGATCAAACATCTTGCATATTAGATCCTAGCACAGAACCTCCAGTTGAACCATGTCCACACTCCTGGGACTTCACTTGCAAAAATCAACGGTGTATACCTAAATCATGGGTATGTGATGGTGATGATGATTGCTTGGATAATAGTGACGAAGAACAGAATTGTACAAGTAAGTGTAAATTATATAAAGTTTTATTTTCAACCTTTAAGCAATATCATTTTTGTAGAACCAACTTGTGGCTCCAATGAGTTCCAATGTAAATCAGGACGCTGCATTCCACTTAACTTCCGTTGTGATCAAGAAAACGATTGTGGCGATAATTCCGACGAATATGAATGTGGCAACGTAACCTGTGGTGCATCCCAATTTGCTTGCGCCAATGGTCGTTGTATTCCCAACATGTGGAAATGTGATAGCGAAAACGATTGTGGTGACGGTTCGGATGAAGGTGATTTTTGCGCTGAAAAAACATGCGCTTACTTCCAATTTACCTGTCCTCGCACTGGTCATTGTATACCGCAGAGTTGGGTTTGTGATGGTGACGATGATTGCTTTGACAAACAAGATGAAAAAGATTGCCCACCAATCAGTTGTCTTTCCAATCAATTCAAATGTGCAGATTTACGGCAATGCGTGGAGGAATCCTATAAATGTGATGGCATTCCAGATTGTAATGATGGCAGTGATGAATTGGGTTGTCCTTCAATGGGTCCAAATCAATGTAATCTTGAAAAACATTTCCGTTGCAAATCATCCGGCTTTTGCATACCTATTGCATGGCACTGTGATGGTTCCAATGATTGCTCCGATCATTCGGATGAAGAAGATTGTGGACAAATTACTTGTGCAAATAATTTCTTTAAATGTGATAACTCCAACTGCGTATTTAAGGCTTATATATGCGATGGCAAAGATGACTGTGGCGATGGTTCTGATGAGAGCGCACAACATGCTTGCGTACCTCCACCATTCAAATGCCCACATGGTCAATGGCAGTGTCCTGGTGTAACAGAACGATGTGTTAATACAACTTCGGTTTGCGATGGTACCCCTGACTGTCCAAATGGCGCTGATGAAGGAGAAGGTTGTGATTTAGCGCAGTGTGACCATCAATCAGGCTTATGTTCTAATGGTTGTCAAAAAACACCAATGGGTGCGACTTGTGTTTGTCCTCCAGGCTCAGAAATTGGCACTGATGATCAATATACCTGTGTTGACACCAATGAATGCGAACCACCTGGACTTTGTTCTCAACAATGTACCAATACGAAAAATTCATACTTCTGTTCCTGTATGGATGGCTATGTTCTCGAACCCAATAAACATACGTGTAAGGCTGTTAACCATAGCGCAGCATTTTTAATCATTTCCAATCGCCATTCGATATTGGTAGCTGATTTGAAAGAACAAGGGTTAGAGCGTGTGCCTATAAATGTGGAAAACGTCGTGGCAACAGCTTCGAATATGCACACTGGTACGATATACTGGAGTGATATGAAATTGAAGAAAATTTCGTGCTTGTATCGTGGCAGTAATCCACAAGAAATCATAACCACTGGTTTGGATTTAGTCGAAGGCTTAGCATACGATTGGATAGCGAAAAATCTTTACTGGTTAGACAGTAAACTAAATACAATTGAAGTATCCACAGAAAATGGTACAAATCGTTTAGTGCTTGTCCGTGAAAACATAACGCAACCACGTGGTATGTGCATTGATCCAAGTCCAGATGCGCGTTTTATTTTTTGGACAGACTGGGGCGAAAATCCTCGGGTTGAGCGTATTGGCATGGATGGCACTATGCGACTAACAATTATCAACACTAAAATTTACTGGCCAAATGGACTGACACTTGACATCTCTACCAAGCGTGTTTACTTTGCCGACTCAAAGTTGGACTTTATTGATTTCTGTAACTATGACGGCTCTGGTCGACAGCAAGTTCTAGCAGGCAGCCATTATTTACTACACCCACACTCACTCTCACTGTTTGAGGATACTTTATACTGGACAGATCGTCAGCTGAACCGTGTGCTATCAGCTACTAAATTCCGTGGCAAAAATCAAACCGTTGTATCGCATTTAATTAGTCAGCCACTCTCAATACACGTAAATCACCCTTCATTGCAACCAATTTATCCCAATCCATGTGAGAAAAAAAGATGCCAACATTTATGTTTATTAAGTCCAAGTGCTGAAGATGGTTGCTCCTGTAAATGCAAACCAGGTTTCCGTTTAGTCAATAATGTAGATTGTGTGGAAGAAGAAAATCCTTTCTTAATGGTCGTTAAAGGCACACAAATTGTTGATATACCCTTGAATGGTGGTGACGCACGGGCAGGTTCATTGGCACCTGTTATTGGAATTGAAAGTAGTACTGGACTTGATTTCGATCGCAAAGGAGAAACTCTATATTGGGTGCAAGGAAGAGAGGATGATGCAGAAAACTGTACGATATTTACTACTCCTTATGGTGGTGGTAATAAGACGGAATTCCTTACTTCAAATACCGGCATCGTAGGTGCACCATACACAATAGCATTTGATTGGTTAGGACGCAATTTGTACATGGGTAACCGAATAGCTAGCAACATTGAAGTTGTGCGTGTTGATGGTAAAGTTAAATTCAGAACAATTGTTCTAGCGAACGATGGAAATAAAACATCGGTGGCGCAACCTAAACAAATAGTTCTAGATCCGAATGATGGTAAAATGTTTTGGATTGACGATGGTGGTCTGGATGTTCCAATTAAAATAGCGCGTGCCAATATGAATGGTCTTAATCCAATAGTATTGAAAGAGAATGTTAAAAGCCTTGAAAGCATTGCACTTGATGTAGACAAAAAACAAATTTATTACAGCACTCAATTCCCACCGTCAATATGCGTCATGGACTATAGTGGAGACGGTCATAGAATTCTAATGAGCGAAAGTAATGCAATTGCACGCCCGAAAGCTCTTGGTGTGCTCGATTCCAGACTTTACTATCTAGACCCATTGTATGAAAAAATTGTACGAGTTGATTTGCCGAATGGTGACAACCCCAGAGTAGTTATAGACAACGAACCTGATCTGAAGAGTATGATAATTTACAAGAAGCGTCCTTTAATGCAGCATCCTTGCCAAACCAATAACGGAGGATGTGAACAAATATGTATACCAGACGAAGCTTCATCTCGTACTTGCGCTTGTGGTATCGGTTATCGCAAAGAGAACGATATACTCTGTGTGGCTTATAAAACATTTGCTGTTGTTTCTCAGTCTGATGTTATACGCGGTTATAGTTTGAATGATAGTTCAGATGCTATGGTTCCAGTTAGTGGATCAGGTCATCAAATTTTACACGTTGATGTATTCTTCCGTGAACAATGGATTTACTGGGTCGAATACAATCGTGGTTATTGGAATGGCATATTCAGAGTGAGACAAAATGGTACAGATCTTCAACAAATAGTTAAAGATGGCATTGGAGGTAATGGCATACGTGGTTTAGCAATTGATTGGGTAGCTGGTAATTTGTACTTTACAAATGTTTTTCCACATGAAAACTACGTTGAAGTTTGCTGGTTGGACGGTAGTAATCGCAAAGTTTTAGTTAAAACCACAAATGATTCACCAAGAGAATTGGCTGTAAATCCTATTAAACGGTTAATCTACTGGATTGACTATGGTCAATATCCTCGAATTGGTATGGCAAATTTGGATGGCAGCAAATGGACACAAGTGGTAACTTCCGGCATATCAAACCCACGTGATTTAACTATTGACCTACAAACGCATGATGTTTACTGGGTGGACACCAAGTTGGATACAATACAAAAAATTTCCTATTCTGGCAACAATCGACAAATAATTCGACGAAACTTACCAAACCCAATGGGAATTGCTATACATGGAAATGATGTTTACTGGGTTGATCAAAATTTAATGACAGTATTCAAAGCTTCTAAATTTGCAAGAGATACCGATTTACCAATACGCGTACGTACCAATTTGCCGAAGTTAAGCGATATTGTCATATATAATGATAATAATCAACCACAAGATGCTAATAATCCATGCACACGTCTTGGAAATGGAGGTTGCGATCAACTTTGCTTCAGTTTCCCAGAAGATCAATCCAGTCCTTCAAGACTAAACTATCGTTGCGACTGCGCAACCGGAAAGTTAGGAAGTGACAACCATAAATGCGAAATCGTAAATGAATATTTGGTATTTGCTACACGTACCGAAATTAGAGCAGTAAACTTAGATCCACGATCTACTCAAGTTCCTTTCACACCTATGACCAATCTAACAAATGTTGTAGGACTTGATTTCGATTACGCCGATAATCATATGTTATATACACAAATCCGTCCATGGGCTAAAATTGCCTATACTAAAGCCAATGCTCCAAGCAGTAATGATATCAACGTAGTGCTCAACAAAGGCATCAATCCAGAGGGAATCGCTTACGATTGGACTCAAAATAAAATTTACTGGACTGACAGTTCGAACAACTCTATATATGCTATGAATTTAGATGGCACAGAACTGGTAATGATAGCTAGAGTAGAACGCCCACGTGCTATTGTGCTGGATCCTTGCAATGGAACACTATTCTTTACCGACTGGGGACGTTTTGGTACATCTGGAAAAATATTCCGCACAACAATGGCGGGCTCACTTAAGCGTGCTATAGTCGATAAGGATTTATCTCAGCCCAGCGGTTTGGCAATTGACTATGACGAACGAAAACTCTACTGGACGGATGCAGTACGCGAAAAAATTGAACGCTCAGATTTAGATGGTCAAAATAGAGAACTTTTAGTCGCGGCAACAATTTATCCATTCGCTATAACAGTTTTTCGTAATCACATTTATTGGACAGACCTACAGCTGCGTGGTGTTTACCGTGCTGAAAAACATACTGGTGCTAATATGGTTGAAATGGTTAAGCGCTTGGAAGACTCTCCACGTGATATACGCGTATATAGCGCTGAACGGCAAAAATGTACCACTAACGCTTGCCTGATAAACAATGGAGGCTGTGCTCAAAGCTGTCATCCGGCACCAAATAATAAAGCGGAATGTAAATGTGACGATAGCTCGAAAGTTGTCAACGAGGGACGAATGTGTGCGCCACGTAATAATACTTGCGAAGCTAGCAAATTCTATTGCCAAAATGGTAAATGTATATCACGCATGTGGTCCTGTGATGGTGATGATGATTGTGGTGACAATTCAGATGAAGATCCAAACTACTGCTCTTACCACTCATGCTCTCCAAATGAGTTCCGCTGCAATAATGGACGTTGTATATTTAAATCATGGAAATGTGATCACGAAAATGACTGTAAGGATGGTTCCGATGAAATTGACTGCACTTATCCACCTTGTGTGGATGGCGAATTTACTTGCGGTAATGGACGTTGCATACCTATGTCACAAGTTTGTAATGGCGTTAATGATTGCAAAGATAACGCAACATCTGATGAAACTCATGAACGTTGCCCAACAAACACAACTTGTCCTGCAAATCATCTTAAATGTGAGAAAACGAATATCTGTGTTGAACCATATTGGTTGTGTGATGGCGACAACGATTGTGGCGATAATTCTGATGAAGATCCACTACATTGCGGTCAGCGAACTTGCCCGACAAACAGCTTCCGTTGCCCGAACCATAGATGCATACCAGCAACTTGGTATTGCGATGGTGATGATGACTGCGGCGATGGTGCCGATGAGCCACCAGAATATTGCAAATCTGAAGGGCGTACTTGTTTCGGTGATCTATTTACCTGTGATAATGGCAACTGTATTCCTAGAATCTATATATGCGATGGCGATAACGATTGTCTCGACAACAGTGACGAAGATAATCGACATCAGTGCAGTAAGTTAAATTTGTGTACTTGGGAGTATTGTAATAATTTTTATTAACTATAAATTTTGTAGATGATCGAAAATGCGATGATGAAACAGAATTTACGTGCGTTGAAAACAAATCTTGGGGACGTGCGCAGTGTATACCAAAGAAATGGATTTGCGATGGCGATCCAGATTGTGTGGATGGTGCTGATGAGAACACAACGCTACACAATTGTGCTACACAACAACCTTGTGCTGAGGATATGTTTACTTGCGGCAATGGCAGATGCATCAACAAAGTAAGTCCAACTAAGAAATCCATTCCTCTGAATTTATATCTTAAATCTTATTTATCTCTGTAGGGCTGGATTTGTGATCATGATAATGATTGTGGTGATGGTACTGATGAAGGCAAGTTCTGTAATTCTAAATATAAGACATGCTCTCCAGAAGAATTCACGTGTCAGAACTTTAAATGCATACGTAATCCATATCGTTGCGATGGTGAGGATGACTGTGGTGATCATTCAGATGAAGTGGATTGTAAGAAAGAAAATGTTACTTGTGCTGCCGGACAGTTTACTTGCACAAATGGTCAATGTATAGATAGCCAACTAGTATGTAATAAAATGCCGGACTGTTCAGATGAATCTGACGAGCCAGCTCATTGCAATGTGGATGAATGTGCTAAAGTGGAAATTCACCAGTGTGGTCACAAGTGTGTGGATACAGTGACGGGCTATTATTGCGATTGTAATCAAGGTTATAAGTAAGTAGCTACTGTTAATTTATTATTTTTTCATGCTTAAAAAATTATTAACCTTTTCCAGACTCTTGGCTGATGGCAAGGCATGTGCAGATATTGATGAGTGTATTGAACAACCAGGGGCTTGTTCTCAACACTGCTCCAATACACCTGGCAGTTATTATTGTAAATGTGATGAACGGTACTATGAACGCCAGATCGATGAACACACATGCAAGCGCAGGGATAACATCACAGCTTGGCTAATCTTCACGAATAAATATTATGTACGTAACATGTCGCTTGACGGATCACTATATAACCTTATGCATCAAGATCTTATGAACGTGGTGGCATTAGATTTTGATATCAGAGATGAATATATGTACTTCTGTGATGTTACAGCAAAAACAATATTCCGATCAAAGTACAATGATGAAAGTGACAAACCTGCCAGAGAACCCGTTATACGGCATGACTCGCATGGTTTGGAGGGCATTGCAATTGATTGGGTTGGTCGAAAATTGTATTGGTTAGATAGGCATTCTAAGAATTTAGATGTCTCCGAGTTGAATGGCACTTCACGTAAAACTCTACGTAGTGGTGTTGTAGATCCACGCGCCATTGTTGTGCACCCTGGCATTGGATTCCTGTACTTCACATCATGGCATTTACAGGCGTACATAGCTAAAATGGGTATGGATGGCTCAAATTTCAAACGCATATTAACGTATGAAAATGATATTGCTTGGCCTAATGCTTTAGCAATCGATTACTTCACCGATCGCATATACTGGGCAGATGCACATTTGGATTATATTGCTTATGCCGATTTGGAAGGTCATAATCGACATATTGTACTATCTGGTGCTAAAGTGCCTCATGTATTTGCCATTAGCTTGTTTGATGATAACTTGTATTGGAGTGACTGGAACTTGAAGGCAATTGTGCGAGCGAATAAATTTACAGGTGCTAACTATACTGTCATACGTAATACCACCCATCGTCCTTATGATATTCACATTAACCATCCAATGCGACAAGTACCATATGCAAATCCATGCGGTACAGGAAACGGTGGTTGTTCCCATTTATGTTTAATTTCTCCACCTCCAGAATCGACTTATCTAAATATTGAAGGTTATATTGAAGAAGGCGCTCCAGGCTATAAATGTGCTTGTCCAAATCAATTTTATTTATCCAGTGATAGCAAAACTTGTATAGCAAACTGCACAACTGGACAACATCGTTGTGGTGGTTTCGATGAGAAATGCATACCATGGTTCTGGAAATGTGATGGTGAAAAGGATTGTAAAGATGGTTCAGATGAGTTGCCGACATGTCCGCAACGTCATTGCCGCGCCGGAACATTCCAATGCAAAAATACCAACTGCACACCATCGGCCACAATTTGTGATGGCACTGATGACTGTGGCGATGGAAGTGATGAACAAAATTGTGAACTACCTTGTCCAGAATCGGACTTCAAATGTAAATCTAGTGGTCGTTGTATATTGGATAGTTGGCGTTGTGATGGTGATGCTGATTGTAAAGATGGTAGTGATGAAGATCCTGCTCATTGTCGTAAGTACTATTTCATTTTTTACTATTTTTATTATACTTTTATCGAAAAATCCATTAACATCTAATTTAATTGTCCAACAGATAAACGAAGTTGTGATCCTGATACCGAATTTAATTGCAAAAACGGCCGCTGTATACCAAAACTGTGGATGTGTGATTTCGACAATGATTGTGGCGACGATTCTGATGAGCCTGCCTACATGTGCCGTCAACGTAATTGCACTACTGGATGGCAACGTTGCCCCGGACAATCGAATTACCGCTGCATACCGAAATGGTTGTTCTGTGATGGAAAAGACGATTGCAGAGATAATAGTGATGAACTGCCAGAAAATTGTCCTAAATGCTCTACAGAAACTGACTTCAAATGCGGCAACAACCGATGCATTCCTAAGTAAACACTATTAAATTATTATATTTTTTTTATTATTTATGCATATTTACTTTTTAGGCAATGGACTTGTGACTTTGCCGACGACTGTGGAGACGGTAGTGACGAAAATGAAGCCCTTTGCAAGGGTCATTATCGTGAATGTTCGGAATCAGAATATCGTTGTGCTAATGGCAAATGCATATCATCACGTTGGCAATGCGATCATGAAGATGATTGTGGCGATAATTCCGATGAGCTTAACTGTGAAGGATTCCAATGTAAGAATGGCACATTCCAATGTACTTCAGGACACTGTATTGCAGCTTATTTCCGCTGTGACGGTGATCGTGATTGTCGTGACATGTCTGATGAAATAAATTGTCCACCACGTTTCCCAGGCGGACGTTACTGTCCAGAATCGCGCTTCCAATGCAAAAACAATTTATGTGTATCTCCATCTGATTTGTGCGATGGCACCGATGACTGCGGGGACGGTTCAGATGAAGATCCTAAAGTTTGCACAGATTTCAATTGTGATACCTTACGCCGATTCCAATGTGCCAATCATCGTTGCGTTGCTAGATACCAAATCTGCGATGGCGTAGATAATTGTGGTGATGGTTCGGACGAAAATAATATGACACTTTGTGCTTCAAAACAAAAACCATGTGATCTCTACACACAATATCAGTGTGCCAACAAGAATTGCATTGAAAGATCTCAGGTATGCGACTATTCGGATGATTGTGGTGATGCTTCAGATGAATTGGGTTGCCATCATACCAGCACATGTACAGAACTAAATCGCGGAGGCTGTGAACATCATTGCCATAATCTCACCGATGGCGGATTTATTTGCGCCTGCTATCCTGGTTACATAATATCACCAGACAACAGAAAGAAATGCAATGATGTGGATGAATGTGCCACGCGACAACATACTTGCTCACATCAATGTCACAATCTCAACGGTACATACTCTTGCTCTTGTAACGAAGGCTTCCGTTTAGTAGATGGCATGTCTGGCGTTTGCAAGGCTGAAAAAGAAGATATTGTTTTGGTGTTTGCAAACGGTCCAGAAATTCGAGGCTTGAATCTACAAAAGAAGGAAGAGTTCGATGTGATAACATCCGAAAAGCGCATTGAAGGTTTGGATTACGATGCACAACAACAAATTGTATTTTGGGCTGATAGCTATGATAAAACTATAAAACGCTCATATATGGTGAATGCAGTAGATGGACAAGTTAAAATAGGTTTTGCACAGGATCTGAATATGAAGGGAGGTTCTAAGCCATCAGCTGTAAGTGTAGATTGGTTAGCTTCAAATCTTTATTGGACAGAAGTAGATCGTACTGGTTCGAAACCACGTGGTCGTGTGATGGTAGCAAAGACGGATGGTCGTTATCGACGCTCAATTGTAAATGCTGGACTTGAAGTGCCTACTTCAATAGCAGTTAATCCACAATTAGGACGTATTTATTGGACTGATGCTGGTTCTGCACCTAAAATAGAAGTATCATGGATGGATGGCTCCAAACGACGACCTTTAATAACTGAGCAAATTCGTCATCCTGCCGGCTTAACAATTGATTATTCACAAGATCATATAATTTACTGGGTTGATACTAAACTAAATACAATTGAATCGATGCGTCCAGATGGTTCAAGACGTAAGAGCATAGTTAAAGGAGATCAACTCAGACATCCTGTGTCTTTAGATGTATTCGAATCAAATATGTATTGGGTAACACGCGATACAGGTGAATTGATAAGACAAGACAAATTTGGTCGCGGTGTTCAAGTTATAGTGCACAGAAATCTTGTGAATCCATCAGGTCTAAAAGTCTATCATGAGAAACGCTATAATACTTCTTTACGCAATCCATGTTACGGATCTACCTGTTCACATTTGTGTTTGTTAGTGCCTGGTGGTCATCGTTGCGCTTGTCCTGATAGCTCTGGTCCATTACCATCACATCGCAGCACTGCTGAAGTTATATGTGACGCTGCTGCTGAGCGCCCACGTCCACAACCACGCATTTGTCCTTGCCAGAATGGTGGCTTATGTAGTGAAAACGATCATGGTGATCTCTATTGTGCTTGTTTGCCCGACTTTAAGGGTGAGCATTGTGAACGTAATGTTGCTGGAGCTTTCGGTGCCGGTGGTGCCAATGTTGTAAGTATTACATTTAAACTTATTTAAATTATAAGGTAATAAAATATATCAAAAATATTATTCTTTCTTGGAAACCCTTAACTGTTGAACTCTACAAAATAAAAAGATAACATTATTCTTCACACATTCTAAATACCGAATATTTTTTAGGCAACCGTCGTTGTTCCAATTATGGTCATTCTTTTGGTGCTTTTAACAGCAGGAGGCGCATGGTATATCATTCGCAAGAAACCATTGTAAGTATTTTTATTATTAATTCAAAATTAAAACCTTAAAACTTTCTTACGGAATGTGTCAATATAATATTTAAATAAAATATATGCCATTAGACGATATTATTTACTTCACCTTTTTCAATCTATAATAAATCTATGTACATCAAAAACACTTAATTCAAGAAAAGTCTCAGCTTATATTGGTCTCCAAAATAGTAGAAGCTTGGAGAGCAACTCCAAATTAATTTTTTTTTGTTAATTTAATTATTTTTATGTATATAATATTCGGACTTTGGACGGACTTTTAATTAAGAAATATATACATTTCATATATATATTTTTTGTTTGTTTTTTCATATAATATATTATGTTATTTAAAATTTATAGTTATAAAAGTTGTAAAAATTTAAAACCCTTTTGTTGTCTATAATTATATATATTTAAATAATATTTTTGTACAAATTTTCATTTTTAATAGTGGCAAATTAGCACGTTTACCTACACTAACATCATCTCAAAGCGTCACCTTCCGTCACGGTACAAATGTAGAGTTTAACAATCCTGGTTTTCCTCCAGGCGGAGAGAATACAAATGACATTGCGGCCGTTGAAGGCTATAATCTGCAGACTGTAAATAGCGGAAAAACGCGTGACTTTTCAAATCCGATGTACGACGCAGTACAATCGGGTACAACAACAGATCCAACCTTAAGCAATGGATCAGGTAACTCAATTAAATATATTTATTAATGTTTATATTATTAATCATTTATTTATGCAGGAATTTACGAAGTGCCACATGATCCCTCCAAAGCCAAACCGATCGGTCCATTTACGGAACCTGTATCAGCAATAATAGCACCAAGCAGCATAACGCACAAGCCAGTACCACATGTGCAGCTAAGAACAAGAGAACTGGATCCATCTGCGGATACCGGCAAGGATACCCAATATCTTGTTGAAGAGGATAAGTCTGAATGCTGATATATTATAAGCTAAAACAGGAATGGACAATTAATATACATAAAAATGAAGGACTTTTCAAATCACAATTTTAAATTAATTTGAATAAATAAATGCTTAAGGCAACAGGCCAACTAAATTTTTATATCACTAAATTTATACAAATTAAAAATAAATTTCAGATATACTGACTATTTGTATTTAAAAACATGTTTTATACATTTACAAACAAAGAAGAGCACATATCCTTTTTAAAAACAAAAACACAAAAATAAAAATTAAACGAATGAATTAAGAACTACTGATGCAATTATTAATTGTTAAGTTAATTTATACAAAATAAATAAATTTTATTATGAAATTGTGTAATTGAATATTTTTACCATTATTAAAATGTATGAAAAAAGCAAACGATTTTTGTATAAACTAAAAGTAAATTAAGTAAGCAATTTAAACGATTTATATATTTTCAGAATGCTAAATGGACAATATCAATAATAAAAATAAAAAATTAAAGAAATACTTTGTATTAAAATTAATTAATATAGAACGAAAACTAAATAGTTATTTAAATGCATATATATTTGAAGTATATCGTTATATATTTTTCTATACTAGGCAGAAGACAAAAAGCAATGTTTTACAATAAATATATATTTAAAATATTATTTAAATGACTTTAGTTCAAAAAAAAATATCAAATTAAAAACTATAAATATTTTAAAGCAATGTTTGAATGTTAACATTAAATTTATTTTTATGTATATTTACGTTATAAACCATTATTTTTATTGTTTAATATGTTGTGAATTATTATTACATATATAATAAATAAATATTATTTAATTTTATATATATTTAAATTTTTAATTATGAAAGTGTGTTTTTTTTTTGTTTTTTTTTAAATAACCAAATTCAATTTATGTTACAAAATAAAAATTACGAGTATGTTAGAAGGAACTGTCAATTCCTTAAAAGAAAAAAAAGTATTTTTAGAAGCAACATTCCAGCATTAAATGAAAAAACGTCCTTTTTATACAAGATACATAATATTTATATATGTAAAAAGTTAAATTAAAAATAGCTTAAACTAATTTTGAGAGCGTCCAGCGTTTAGTTTAAAATTAATTTTGGAAGAAGCACTGGCATGTAAAAATAAAAACTTTTCTAATAATAAAATGAACAAATGTTTTAAATGAAATAAAAATTAAATAAATATTGTATTTTAATTTCTTTAATGTATATTGATTATTTAAATAAGCAAAGCTTTTAATTTATAGAAAAAAAAAACAAAACATATTTAAATGTCATAAATTTTATGCAAAACTGTGCTTCCTTTCATTTTAAATTAAAAATTTTAGCATAAATTATTAGTAAAAATAAAAGTATATATATAAAAATATAAATAAATAAAAATAAATAAATTTGTTTTAAAAAACTTTTCATTTCTTTTAATTTAATTTATTTATAATTGCATGAATTATTTCAAAATCTGTTTATACATTGTTATAGTTTTTTTCAATATTATTTATTCTTATTGCCAAAATTATATATAATATTTATTGTGGAACAAGATAATATGTCGGTTAATGGAAACACAATTTAATATTTTTCAAAGATATATTAATAAAATAAATTTCGGATCATTCGTTTGTTTTCAATAGTCATTTTTGGGGAATAATTTTATTAAAAACAATACATAAAGATAATAAATTTTGTTCTAACTAACTAACTAATTAATTAACAAGTTTCCTCATTAGTTATAAATTTTTTAGATTTTTTACATAGTTTATAACTTATAAATACTTTATATATTCTTTTCTATTATTTTCTCGAATTTCTCTAAATGCACTATATTTTCCCTACCTTATATTTAATATTAGATAAAATATATTTTTATAATATGCATTATATTTTACCATTTCCTAATATATAAAATATATTACATTTTATTATATGTATCATCTTTATTCATTTTATGTATTATTTGCATGTTTTAAACAAAATTTTATTACTATATTTAAAATTAAAATTATTTTATATTAATTTTTATTACTCAAATATAAATAATAACCATTTAAAATTAATATTATTTAGCATCAAAAATGATTAAATACTTTACAGGTCTATGTATTTTTAATTAAAAATTATTTTTGTTCTATGACACGATATCTATTTGGAATAGAAATGGGGTTAATAGTGACAAAGTTTTAAAATCCAAAAAATTTTTTGTTTTAGATACTGAATAATATCTACCATCAATGTTCTTTGGAAAAATATATTGGCATAGTCTGTATTCAATTTTCATACTGGAAGTGCTAGTCATTATTATATCATATCAGAGTTTCAGAGAAATATCAGAGTTTCATTAGAAGAGCGAGGTATCTATTGTTCAGTTAGTGTCCATTTTTAAACATGATTGTTGTTGTTAAGAACGCTCACTTTAAGAGCAGCCGGGTTTAGTTTTCAGAGCCAATCGTCCACACGCTTACCAATCGTTGCTAACCGCTCCTAACAGGGATTATCTGTCATTGTTGTTGTGTACTCAGCTGAGTTGGGAACCAACACCATTTTAATTTTTTTCTATTTTATTGTTAAACTATTTTTTTAATTTTTTTTTTAAAGTTAACTATTTTTTATAGAGGCTTAGTTTATTTAAAATAAAAATAGTTCCTGGTTCTAGTTAAGTCTCACTTACTTCGCTCGTCAATGACATGTTTATTTTATATAAAAAAGTTTCCTGCTTCTTTACCTTTTTCTTTAATAAACTTTTTTTTTTTAAATATTTCTATAATTAGTGCTAGTGATATCATTTAAATTAATATGTTATCTCTTGTCCTTATGTCTGACTTTAGATCGCTTGCTTTTATTAAAATAATAAATTAAAGCTAAAACATTTAATTTGATAAATAATTAAAGAATAAAACACTTATTCTGATTTTTAATTTCAACCAAAATGAAAACCGTTTAATATATTTTAAATAAAAAATTCAAACAAAGAATTTGAAATATTCGTATAAAATTAATACATAAATAAATATTTAAATTTCTTATATATTTTATGTGGCTTATTTATTTATTAATATTATTTACTTTGTTTTTTTGTTTTATTTATATATTTATTTTTTCATAATTTTTTATTATATACGTATTAAGTTATTTATGTACTTTTTTTGTTGCTTTAATAGGAATTTCATCAAATAGACCAAATTATATATATTATATAATAAAAACAATTCTTTCTCAATATTTACTTGTTTTACAATAATTTTCATTATTGGTAACTAATTTTTTAATTTTTTTCTTTTATTGTTTTTATAAATAATATTTACTACTTGCAACTATTGCTTTGCTTTTATTTAAAATATTTTATTTAACTTAAAAATAATTTAAAAATTTACTAAAACTTACGAAAATAACTTAAATATCAGAAAAAGATTTTAGAGAGCGAAGACAGCCTATCTATGTATAAACAAAAAAAAAATATATTAAATAAGGCAACTATATTTTTATAAAAAAAAAATATATAAAAGATTTAAAAAAATTAAAGTCAAAAAAAAATTTAGTTAAATAAATGATACAGTGAAAAATACAAAGTGTTCACACAAAAACTTTACAACAATTTTTATGTAAAATTTGTAAAATAAAAAAAGTAAAATATAGAATTTATTTAAAATAAATTAGTACGAAAGAGCTATAATTGAAAAAATAAATTAATTTAAAAAGAGCTATATATGTCTAATTTTAAGTATGTATGAAAAATAATAAAATTTAAAAACTAATATGCTATACACGAATTTTAAATTTATTTATATAAAATTAAGCTTTTGGTAATAGAAACAAGAAATAGCAATAATAATAATAGCAATTTTATCTAAAATTATTTTTTAAATAATAATTAACAATAATCATTAATTATTTAATTTATTTATTTATTTTCATATTGCTATTATCCACCAGATGGTGCTATAACATAATTTTTCTGTTAGTAGAAACTCCTAATTTTTAAAACAGATATTTTGCTAGTTATGAATCTGTTGCTATACTTTCAAGTAAAAAACAAATAAAATGAACATTATTACATTTTACGCAATAATTTTGAAACATCAATTAAAAATCTAATAAATCAGATGTTTTTACTGCTCCTTACCGTTCCATTTTTGTTAGCTTAATCTCATATATAACTACTGAAATTTTTATTTATATATCGTAACGGTATGAATGGAATTTTCTATAAGTTATATATAGAATTATAACTGATCAACAGTTTTTCATCCTTACTTAAATTTAATTTGAACAAAATTGTATAATAGAATTTTATAAAGTTTTTTGCATTACAGTTTAGTCTTTAAACTCTCTATCTGTAGTCTAGTTTTTGAAAACAGGAACGCACAATGGTAAATATAACTTTATTCCTAATTAATATTGACTCATATTCTTTAATATTGATTTATATAAATCTGAAATAATAATCACTGTTTTTAATAACTTGTAATAGTTTGTGAAAACCAATTTCGATATAATTTGATTTCAAGATTAATAATTTTCACATTGTTCGCACACGCAGAAAATAGACGAGACGTCTAGTGATAATTATTATATAAAATTTTTATACAGTTTACACAAGCGATGATTAACAACAACATTTATAATTGTTGTTAATAGTTTTCAAATAAAAATTGGCAATATGATATCTCTAAAATCAGATTATATCAACATGTAGTGTAATTAAAAAGTTTCTTAGAGTAGTGAATTTAAATAACACCCATGTTAAATGACAATGTCCTGGAGTTCACTTTATACAAGAAATGGAAGTATTTGAAACTGAATTAAATGTTATAAATTTGTAGAAAATCATAAATACTTTTTTTCAAAGGGATTCATTCAATAAATATTTCAGTTATTGTAGAACAGTAATAGGTAAACCTATTGTACATATCATACAATATAATTCTCCAATGGTGCCTATATGACGAGCAATACTAAATCTAATCCGTTGCAGAAGAATACGTCTAGTGTGTAATAATAATTAGTAAAACATAATTTATTCTTACCAAAGCAATAAAGGTAATCAGACAAAATTAATTAATTTTAAAATAAATTAAATTAATAAGTTAAATTTTATAAATAATTTATTTTTGTGCAATATTCACGCTACCGAGTTCATGCAACGTCAGCAAAATTAATAATAAATACAGTTATGCGATACAATTATTTATTTTTATTACAAATTTCATATTTTTATCAATATAAAATTCATATTTAATACCTAATGAATCAGTAATTTATTATTTTAACCTAGAATGCGTATATACAAATCTAATTGTTTTACATATTCTACTATATGCGAAGAAACGTAATGAAAACGTTACATTCACTGAACATACTTCATTTTCGTTCAGTTTTGACAATTTCACTTTTATTGATTTTTGTTTGAATTCTGCAACTGGCTTTGTAGTTGATTCAATGTAATTGTGAATTTATTAAAAATTATTTAATTAAATTTAACTTCAATTAATTTTTGCAATTTTTACAACTATAATTTGATTTAAGTCATAACCATATATATGGACAAATAAAAATTAAAAATAAATGTGCACAACTTTCCAACATTTTTAATTTAACTACAGCAGCCATTTTCGTTAAGTTTTCATTGCTGTTTACATAGATCAGCATTGCCGCAAACAAGATCTGAAATATTTTGCGGTTTTATAAAATATATATTTTGATTCAAATTTTAAATAAAAATCGAACAAAATGTCTAGAAGTGTTCGAGCTGAAACGCGTAGTCGTGCTAAAGATGATATAAAACGAGTGATGCAAGCTGTTGACAAAGTGCGGCACTGGTGAGTAATTCCTATTTTAATATATAATGTGAAATATAATTTTATTTTATAATTTTGCAGGGAAAAGAAATGGGTCACAATAGGTGATACTACAATGAAAATTTATAAATGGGTACCTATATCGAATTCAGATAAAAAGAAGATTAGCATTAATAAAAGTGACAAAGAAAATTCACAGAAAGGCACACCCACGCCGCCACAAATAACGCCGAGCTATGCCGGCCTAACGGCGGAGGATTCAAACACTTGTGAGTCGCATGCGGAGTAAAAATTAAATTTTTGCACTTTGTATATGCGTGTAAAATTTTGCACATTTTTCTATACATTATCTTGATATTTTAATATATCTTTTAAATTCAATCGATCTATTCTGATTTTCAGGTTTTTCAATGGTAAGCGATTCGCAAGGTGCTACTGATTTTGTGTCGAGTATGCCATTTTCCGAAGACTCCAATTCGCAAGGTAGTGACGGTCCTGTGAAACGTTTAAAAGGTAGCGATTAATTTATAATATGTAAATTATCATATATTTTATAACTACCTAAGTATGTTCAATTTTTTCATGCCAAGTTCATTTTATATTTTTGTAAAAATATTTCTATTTTATATATAATTAGTACTATTTTTCAATTTTTTTTTAGAAATTAATTTAATTTTTTACGAATTAATATTTTTCTTCATGAATTAATTTTATTTTTTACGAATTAATTGTTTTTTTGTTTATGAATTAATTTTTGTTTTTCGAATTATTTTATTTACATATTTTTTTTAAGAAATTCCAATTTATGTTTCAAATAAAACTATTTTCATAAGACTTGAAACTGTTGGATAAACTAGGTAATAGGGTAGACTAGACTAGCTGTCAGGTTGTCACGCATAGATCACATGTTCCCTAGCGTATAAGCTTGGTAATTGTGTACACAAATCATATAAATAAATTATTGATTGATGTTCATATATTATTAATTATTATAAATATCCTTCCTGTTGAAGTAATTACAAAATAATAATAAGTTTAAGATATTTGTACTTTGTATCAATCATTTTTAATGCAAAACGTATTCTAGCTAAGTCATTATAGCAATTAAGTTTTGGAAAAATTATTTATTTATTTACGATCATTCATATAACTAAGTAAATTTCTTTTGGAGTTAACTATATTGATATTAAATAATTTAAGACATAATTTTAAGCAATTCAAGACATTATTGTATTTCATATGAAATTTAAAAGAGATTCATTGCTCAGCGGCGCAATGAGGCTATTAAGCAAAAACGCTTTGTAATAATTTTAATAAAAAAAAGCTCAACTTACGAATACTTTAAATTAATTATATATGTATCTGAAATATTAGGATAAATTAAAGTATGGTATATAATATATAATATTTTCTTAGTTTTGGAATATGTTGAAATATGTATCATTATATGATCATTTTGAATCATTACAAGTATTCCTTACTTTAATATTAAATGTGTGATATGTCATATTATAGAGATCAATTGTAAAAAGCAAAAGTTTCATTAACTTACAATTATGGGATCAGCTTTCGATTCCTAAAAAAATAAGAGACCTTAATGATATCGAACAATATTATAGGCAACTATTCAACTATTCTTTAAGTATTTAATTTATTGTTGTTTAGTTTTTCTTAATCGAATGGACTATAATAGTATCCGCGTATGTTATTTTGTAAGAGTAACTCATATTGTCGAATTGTTCTTGACAGACCTTAACTACTAGCACCGATACAAGTAGTGACACAGCCTCTTGTTGTTATTGCTGTAGCCCGCAGGGATTTATAAAACAATTAACATGAAAGGAATTACAAAAACGTATACATAGATGGGATATGAATAGGTAATGGAAGTGTAAAAGGGGAAGAAGTGAGAATGGAATATGGATAAATGGGATTAAAATTGAAGTTCAGCAGGATCAAGGCGGGATAACCTACACTTATTAATTGAACCGGTTCCAAGGATCGAATGAACTCAAGTTAGTGCATGCATTGGAACAGCAAAATGGATGGGTGTCCTCTTGGGGGGTAAAGCTTCTACAGGTAGAATACATATTGTAAATTGCCGAATTAATGTAACTGCAATAAGTAACTGTTTAGCACGTAGCTATATTATGATCTGAATTGAGGCATTTCTTGCTGCACTAGAGACAACGCTTCTGAAGCTAGCTTGTTGGTATGGAGGTATTAACTTTGTTACTCACAGATATAGCCTGCGCTTCAATTATCTCAAAAGTAGAACCAAATTATTTTATATTAGAACAAACATAAATTTAGCGAATTTATTTAATTTTTTTTACAAAAAATATATTTAAAATCTGGTGTTCACGGTCTCGAGTGCAAAACGCACTATCATTGTCACTTTGCACTGTTGCTATCTTACTCGATTGCCCAACTCGTTACTCATGATCGGAAATACCACCAATTAACAGAATTCTTTTGGAGGTGGCTTTGTTGGCAATTTTGCTGAAGTAAATGTGTTTGCTTTGAAAGCTTCAAGTTCTTCAGCGGTAAGCGTTTCGACTGGAGTATATAATTGCGCTGCTGGAATTATTGATAATGTGGCATTTACATTATTTTGTTGAGGCTGCTGTAGCTGTCCAGTTACTTGTTGAGTCTGTTGAAAGGAATGTTGCATCGCTGACTGCTGAGGTTGTGGCGCCGTTTGCATTGCTTCACTAGTTTGCGTAACCATCTGTTGCATATCATTTTGAAATAGTCCGGCAGGCGGCTGTGGCTGCGGCTGACTTTGTTGAGTATTTTGCGTGAATTGATTAGAAAATAAACTTGGCGTATTTGAACTGAACATGTTTGTTTGACCACCACTAGCTCCAAGATTAAAAAGATTACCACTTTGTTGTACATTTTGGCCAAAAATTGACTTTGTTTGCTGTTGCTGCTGTAGCTGCTGCTGTTGCTGTTGCTGCTGCAGCTGCTGTTGTTGATGCTGTTGCTGCTGCTGCAACTGCAGCTGTTGTTGCTGTTGCTGTAGGTTTGTCGAGTTGGCACCTTGAGAAAATATATTTTGTGTACTTTGTGCCGATTGACCAAATAGACCAAGTGATTGTGATTGTGGTTGATTGTTTACTGTTTGTGCAAATAAATTTGAAGTAGTGTTTTGTGTTTGCATGCCAACATTAGGTTGTGAGAACAAAGATGTAGTTTGTGAACCACCAAATATTGAATTTGATTTTGGCACGGTTGGCTGCGCAAATATGGAGTTAGTACTCTGTTCGGTGGACATACTACCAAATGAGGAAGTAAATATATTACCCGCCATATTCTGCGTTGGATTTAAATTGCTCGTACCAAAAATACTTTGATTGTTGGTGTTAGGTGTACTCTTAAAAATTGAATTTGTTTGTGCTGTATTGGAACTGAAACCAAATGGATTGCTCTTAACAGTTGCATTCGTGTTCGGCATGGCATTTGAATTACTAGTTGGGGACTTATTGTCATATAAGTCACCAACTATTTTAATTATATCCGGAGTGAGTTGCAAAAGTGCTCTCATTTTGTTTGTTGCTTCCATAGCTTGCCTGTTAAATTGTTGGTGGAATTGCTCAAAATAATTCTTCTGCTTGGCATCGTAACAAAGCATACGCATTTCTTCAAACGATTGATCTTCTACGAAATTGGGTATGCAAGGTTTATCTCTAAATGGTCCATAGCATGTAAATGGCCACTGTTTGCCATTAATTGCACCTTCTACATCCGCTTTTATGACTTGCTTTAGATCCAAATGTTCGTAAGTGCATTTGCTGCCATACCGGCAATTACCTTGTTGATAGAATTTACAAATTACCATTATTCCGTTTAATTGCAATCACAAAGAAAGTAAAATATAGAATTTTAAAAACTGCCGTATATATTTATCAGGAAAAGTATAAATACGAAACATATGATTCGAATTTATGATTATGAAAACTCGAAACAAAACAATTTCAATGTTTGGAAAAAATGTGTAGAAATTTTGACAGCTAGCAGGGTTGCCAAGATTGACTTTTCTATTGTAAACCTTTCAACTATTTATGTCAAATAAAGTAACGGTACTAACAAAACAGCTAAATTTAAACAACTTATATTATGTTTCCCTTGCGGCTAAAATTACTTATGTTAATGAAATTAAGTTTTTCACATTTCTATTGACATAAACTGAATTATGCATGTGAAATAAGATTTGGTTATTTTCATTGGCATAAGCTAATTTATGCATGTGAATTAGTTTGTTTATTTACATTTTACATAGAAAACATATGACAAATATTTCTAATTGGGAAATTTTTTTTAAAATGTTGCTTGTTCGGGTTAAATCAGTTGATTTATGAGCTCATTTATATGAATGCTCATTAAAAATTATCCGCATTAGCGGCTTAATGAGGGAAACTGTCGAAATAAAATAAGTGGAAACATGATAGTAATGTGTTTAAATTTAAATTAAAAAGTTGAATTAAATTTTTATCACTTAAATAAGTTATTTTGTTGTCATTTTAACAAGCAATAACGCGAAAAATGGAATAGCTATTTTTAAATATTTATCAATTCAGACTCAAAACCTCAGTATAGTGCAAATCTAAGAGTAGTGTACTTCACAACTCTGACATTGCATTTTATAATAAAAGGGAATAAAAATATTTTTATATATTTATCAATTCGACTCAAAGTAAAGTGTAATCCGTAGACCCCAAGCACCTAAGAATAGTGCAAATTTAAGAGTAGTGTTGTGTTCACCTGAAATTGTAATGTATAATAAAAGGGACCATAATTTCTGAGGTTCCCTTCCACTAATATGTGACATTCCAAAGACGATAGTATAAGCATGTGATATGTCAGTTAATCTTATGAAAGATATTGTGCAAAACTTTTTTTATCTACTGTTTAGTGTTTATGTGTGAAAAATACTTTATCTGTCCCACTTCCTGCCAATATTATACCTGTCGTTGTAGCCCGCCGGAAACTGCTTGTAAAATCCCTTTGGGAGATGGTGAACGGCACTTGGTCATCGAGGTTGATGAACACCTCCCAGACGTAGACATGACCGTTCTTGGAACATGGTGGTATTATAAATAATTAATAACAAATTAATGGCTGTACCTTGAGAAATTCGACTCTGTAATGGGTTAATTTGTATACGCCCATTATAACATATCTAAATAAGAGCAATATAAGTTTTTGTTGCTACTACTTTCAATAAGTTAGTTAAATAGTCGATAATCTGCTTTTTAAATTAGTTACATAAATAATTAAAAAAATGTTAAATAATTTTAAAAGACAATGTATCATTTATTTTGAATGAATTTTTAATTTATAATTTAACAAAATTATTGTCCTTTAAATAACAATTCAACAAATGTTGATACATAAAATATATGCATGTATAATAAATTGTTTATAAGCAAAAAGCAATAATTTTTATACATAAATATTATATGATATATATTTTATAATATAATATACAAATACAAATCTCCATTTGCAACATTTGGCAATAAATCCGCCTTAAAGGTTAAACATTTAGTTAATCAATTATTTAAATATATTAATCGATATTACAGATAAAGTGGTTTGGTTACACACAATTGAATATAAACGCAGAAACTAAATTTTAATAATGCAATTCTATAAATTATATATCAACTTAGATATACAAAAAAAATCACTTAATTTAAATCGATGTGGATATACGATTAGAATATACATAGTATGTCATTTAAAGTTCATATTACTTATGTTATGGGTTGATTCGCGTTCTTAGGAAACCAATTTATATTATTTATTATTTAATTTTTACATATTTCAGACAATATTACATGGTAAAAAGTTAGTTAAAAATTATTTACTTATACTTCTTCATGAATTCAATGTGGAAATCTCTGAATTTATTCATCATGATTTTTAGTTTATCGGTTTGTGGCAGAATTGTAGTCCGGAAATGATATGTATTTGGTTTTTGTCCAAAACCACTGCCAGGAATAATACAAATGCCTAAAAAAATAACAAATATTGATTTAGTGATGTATAAGAATTTAAATAACAGTAAAACTTATTCATTTACCTGAAGACTCAAGCAATTCAAATGCATAGAAAGTATCTGGGGTCATGTTTTTAGCTTTAGCTGCTGCTATGGCTTTGGGCGGTATAGTAATTTGCGGGAAAACATACATGGCACCTTGTACAACATTCACCTTGAATCCTTCAAAACTGTTAAGCATATTGTAAACTAATTCTGCACGCTCTTTTAATGACTCAAGAATATTATTTTTTTCCGTTATGTATTGGTCATATGACGGCTCATTGGGTTCTGGTGGATGTACCTAAAAGACGATATATAGATTAGATTATGAAAAGCATGGATTAATTAATCGAAATAAGTTTTTTGTTGTAAAACACACTTTGTTAGATTGTAAATATAATATGTATAATACTATGATAAAAAATAAGTTAAAATTGTTTATAACTTTTAAAATCTTTCATTTATTCTTCTAAATCATTGCCATTAAAATGCTTCCCTTCTGGTAGGAAACATTTTTGCCAACGTTTCTTTCAATCCTAGAAATAATTTTTAGTAAATTTTTGATATGGCCTTAACAGCACACAGCTATAGGGTGTTTATATCCTCAATTGTAGCGAAACGGTATTTTCGGAGCAGTCTTTATGTAATCATAGGAGTTGGTTGTAGATTAATATGAGTAAGGGTTTTAGCGAAATGGCCTCAAAGAAACATGCAGAGTAAGATGGTGTATTGTCGCGATTCAAGAACACAGACTCAAATGATATACCTTTTTTTATATATGTACCAGTTTTGTCCGGTGAATAATCGAAGAGAACTTTTAACTGCGCATTGATTTTTAAACGACTTTACCGCGATCTTCTCGGTCTAGACGCACCGTTGATATAGTTTTTGTCTTATTGATCAATTGTTTCCGAGTAGTATATATATTCAAATCATAATAACAGTCATCATACATTTCATCTAATCCTGGTAGTCAGAAGGTAGTGTTTGATAGTGTTCAACACGACTCTGTATTTCTAAAACATAAAATATATAACACCAAATAAGATTTTACTCTTTTCAGTCACAAAACATTTCAAAATGGTCTGAACTGAAACAAAAGAAATGTTTACAGTATTAGCGAAGTTTGGCATTAGCACCAAATCTTAGATTTTCTTGATCTATTCTTTATCAGTCTTTTATCAGTTGATGTTAATGGTCTTCCGCTCTTTCAGTGCGATTTTTGTCTTTAACGCTTTCTAAACCTTCTTTAAATTGTTTATACTACTGGTAAACAACATTTTTTGTGACATAGCCTGACCACGGAAAGGCTTCGGCCACGTTCTTTATGTTTTTTCTAGCAAAAATTTCATTGCGCAAATAAAATTTAATGTTATATTAAGCCTTTTCCGAGTAAGTGCATCTGAGCACTTTCACTCTATGATAGCTGGGGGAATTCTGCAGAGTCCCGCCCTTCTCACTGACTAATTTGAGTATTCCTGTTAATCTTCGTGATTATTCAATGATTGGTCTAAGATCTGCGTACCGCCCCGTGCGGTTAGCGATTACTTTGAGATTAGATATTGCTAAGTATTGCAACTTTCTTGCTCAAATGTTTAATATAAGTATTTCAGCATATTTTTTGATCATAGTAGTATATATACTTAATAAAAAAAGAAGGAAAAAATTAGAATTGAGACTTTACTTACTAAAGCACTGACTGCAACTTGTCCAGCAGTTGTTGAACATAAGGACGCAGTAAGTGATTTTGTTAGCATAGCTTTAACCTTTGGACACATATTGATTATTTCCATATAACCACCACGTATGCCACATTCACCCAAATAACCTTTCGATGTAGACATGAAACTGCAAAGCTCCATATCTTTGTAGGGCGCACCCATTTCGGTCATAACTTTTTTGAATGAAAAGAATTTAGAATTCTTATCATATACATTATCTTGATACACTTCATCAGCCAACAGTACCAATTTATTATCATATGCAAATTTAATAATATCGACAATATTTTCGCGTTTTAGTACTTGTCCGGTTGGATTACCAGGATTAATAACCACCAAAGCACGCGGTTCATAATGTTGCTTAGCTTCATTATAAGCGCGCTCTAATTCGGCGCGATTCAAACTCCAATTGGTTTCCTCATCAAGATAATAACCAATTTTTTCCATACCATATTCAGCAATAGTAGCAGAATAAAGTGGATATTGTGGAATTGGTACCATAACACCGGGTGGCTTGGAATTGATTTCGGCTCTAAAATATAACAGTCAATTAAAGTAAATTCATTATCAATTAAAAAAACTTGAAACTTACCGCATTAGAGAAAGAACTGATTTGATGCCAGGAGTAGCACCAGCGGTTAAATAAATATTATCGGGATCTGAAGCAATACCACCATCACGTTTTTGAATATACTGAGCAACTTGCTTTCTAACGACTTCCAATCCAGCAGAATCAGTGTAGGACCCCACAGAACAACCCTGACAACTATCTAAAATAGCTCTAGCACGCTCTTTCACATCTTCTGCATAATTTGGTGAGTCAAGCAAAGTGGGATCAAATGTCAGTATAAGAAGCTAGAAACAAATTACATTTTTAGATTTTTTATTATTTAAATTGCGTCAATTTCTGACGACGAATGCAATTTAATGTAATTGCAATTACAAAGTCATGTTTGATTAAGGCAATTTGCTTTTGCGAGTGCACAGCACGTCATTGCAATTTGCGAAGAAAAATGACCTGATTTAAGTTCAAAATATCAATATAAAAGGAATTTTTAATATATTAAGCATTTAAGCAATTTTTACGACTTACTTGTCTGAGGAAGGTAACAGGCTTCTGACCCATTGCATGACAATCACCAATGTTAGCACGAATCACTTGGTCAAATGCTTTTTTATTACCCTAAAAAAGAAAAGTAAAATGTAAATGACTTTCAAAAATAAGTCAATTATATGCTTAATGATTACTTAAAATAAATAAAAAAGAATTTAAGCATTATTTAAAAAATAACACACACAAGAACTATATTTAATTGTCTCTGCAGGTATGAAAATCGTTTTTAGATTCAAGCATTCACTCACAAAAAATTCAATCGTACATATAGTAGAACAGTTCTTACCTTCTGTGCCGTCAATTTTTTCCTCAAGCGAACGGTCATGTAGGCAACAGAAATGCTTGGCATCGGGTTCAAATCGAGAACCCGCTTTCTCATCTCACTTTCAGAGCATAAGGACATTCAATTAAAGGAAATTAAAAAGTTACAGTTTAGACCAGCTTGGTATTTATATTTATTTGTTTTCTAGGGATGTATCTAGATACTTAGAGATCTTCAATGGAGTGCCTTTCTTAGTGCTATTGAAACCCATTCAGAAACGTAAAAGAAATAAAACAAATATATATATTAAGATGTGATTGAATAAGAAGACATAGGGGAGGAATAACATAACATATACCTACTAATATAGTCTCTATTGGAGAAAAGCGTTTGATCGTCGTGCTTGACGAGTGGTTCCGAAGCATAAGTCTAGCTGGCCCTTGAACCACGTGCCTATCATTCTTTCTTCAGGTAGCTAATAACAGCTGTATGTCATTTAGAACATGTGTAATATTCCAATTGATTTCATTATATCCTGAGTTTATAAAAAAATCAGATAAAAAGTTTTTAGCAGAAAAATTTTTATCTCATCACATCCATACTGCCAGGCTATTTGCAGTTTTTTTTTTTTAAATCACTGTTATACGGGATTGGTTTTGGAGAAGTTTTGGAAACTTACAGAAAGTTTTAGTTAACACAAGGGAAAAGGTTTTTAAGAAGTATTACTTGACAGTCTATGAGGCAAAACATGTATTCTGAACTAATACTGGAAGATCTAATTAAAAAACATAAACTTAAGATTATGAATCACTTCTTGTCCATTGATACCTATATATGATTTCAAGGAATGTGGTATTAAAACAGCGAATAATTCCTTACAATAAAAGTGGAAAGCTGTCACCAATCACCCAACTATGGTTGGATTTAGTTCTTTAAAGAAACATATTACAGTAAAAACGGGCTTAGTTATAACGCCAATATGAAGAGCTATAAATCTTTATTTCTTATTAACTTTTTCTATAAATCTGTAGAAATAAGTATATAAATTTTAAGTAAGATTTCTTTAATAATCTTTTTACTTAGTATATCTTAGTCACTCAACCATTTCGATAAATTTGCAATTATAAAAAGCTAAAAATATTTTTGATCACTAAAGTAATTCAACCTTAGATTAGCGTTCAAAATGCTGAACAATTGTAACTTTGAAATCACCTTCTGGAAAATTTAAATATTTATATTGTTATTCAATAGAATGAATTCTATTCGCAGTACTCATGTAATTAAATACCACAGAACCAGAACTACTTACGATAGCATTTCAATCATAATTAATTACATTATAAGAGCGTAGAGAGTATTCATTACCAGACAATAAAAATAGTAGGTTGTGCTGTGTATTTAAAGCTTAAAGGAAATTAAATAACTCTGTGGTCGTCACCCACGAACGAATAATATCAGAGAATACAGGGTTATTTTGGGTACAATATAATTTCATAAATTATTGTGTTTTCACACAAATTCATTAGCAGCAATTGCCAGTTGTCACCTTATTTGATTATCAGAATTTATCAGCAATTGAAACAATAATCAAAACAACATTTCCAACAACTACACTTATATTATGGACACATTTTTATCAAAATCTCACATAGAAAGTCGAAGAAATGGCGCAAAAAGCCATTCAACTTAGGTTCTGGAATGTTTTGACTTTTTTGACTTCTGCTTAGGCGCTACGTTGCTAAGCAGTTAGCCGCTAATATTTATTTATTAGGGACCGATTTTATTGTGTTTTTATGTACACAGTACAACAGGTTCTTCAACAACTTTCGTATATTTTAGGAATTTTTATTTCTAACACATAAATATGTTCACAATGTATTTGTACAAATTATCTTTTAATTGAAGTGTAAATAAAACAACTTTATTAGGGTTTTATTTTTGCTCGTACTCTCCTCCTATCAATAACATTATTTTTAACTAATCTAATAACATACGTATATTCTTCCCCTATACATATGTGCCCTCATGTGTTATTGTTATCTGCTGTCTGATATAATTAATTGCTAACGTTTGAGAGTTTTCGGATCAAATAGGCAATGATTTTGATATAGAAAATTTTTTATGGGAGGTGCAATATAGACGATAGAACAAAGAGAATGACGTATATGTAGTTTTAATAATATTAACTTATAATCGTAACCCTGATGATGACTCTGAAGGAGAGTCGAACTTCAGAGTATAATGAAAAATATTAAACGTTGAATGATTTACTTGTGTATCACACATATCCATATACCAATTCGCTTTATCTTTAGAAGGGTCTTCATGTTATAGCAAAATTGTTGAATATGAACGTGCAAAATGAACTCAATGCTGGAGTCACCTTCACCACACACAGGAATCAGTGCCCCCATAGAGCTAGTACCTATAGAGGATACAGCTCATAGAGCGAAAATATATATTCTCTAAAAGAAAGTAACTTGCTAAAATTAATTGACTAATGAGCCGACATTTTTAACGAGCCCTTTTGAAAATAAATTTTATGAAACAAAATAATTTTTAAACCATCTAAATTATATATAAATTGTGCTCCCCACAGGCTAACGTAAAAGAACTTAATAGCCATCAACAAACCCAAATGAATGTACGGCATGAAATTGTGGGGCTTAACTGTAAAGTGAAATTTAGACATCATTCAAAATCTACAATCAAGAGTTCATAGAAGCATAACATAATTAAGATGAGGATTTATAGTAAATATTTTGATAAACACTTCATAAGTAGGAAGGGATATTTGCAGCTATATCAAATTAGAGTACTTAAAGGTAGTTATTGACAGTACACATTGCCTAAAATGTGTATTGTCACGTATATTGAATGCAGTGATATATCATTTAAAGATTTACGACATTCTGAAGATTAACTGAAATGGCTTCATATATTGCATGCAGTGACATATCGGTTAAAGATTTAAGATATTCTATATTCATATGATCTGATATCTATTTTATGTTAAGTTAACCGTTTGTCAGAGCTGCATCTCCTTCAAAGATTTTTGATATCCCAGACCGACCTAAATTGAAAAGTATTTTATATTATTTATAGATATTTCTCGTAGATATCTCTCCAAAAGATAATAAGTGTTGTTTATCTAAATTCAAGTGCAATTTTTGTTGATAAGAAAAATAAAGTACTTTTGTGTTAAACGTATTTATTTAAAAACACTAAAAGTGATATGTGCACTACAGCATTAATTTCACAACTACAGTAAAAGCTCTGTTAAACGGAAGCTGTAATAATATTAAATAGACAATATTGCTGTTAATATTGTTCAATGTTGCTAGTCCTCACTTTTTGCTATTCATACAAAATACGTTCTTTTTAAGAGAGTATTATCTAAATAGAAAATTGAACCCGTCGGTAATTGTTCAAACGCTTCCACACTGTACTATTGAGGGAACAATATTTTGTTTAACAAAATTTATTTAATTAAAAATAAGAGATAGAAACTTGCTAAAAACAATCTTTAGAATTTACACAATAGTGTCAAATTTAATCTCTGAAGGTTAAACTATTTAACTTGGAATTAAAAATGTATAAGTTGCACTAATTAATAAGACCAAAACACCTTAATTAAAGATAACTTACATGGATTTATGAATATAGTTGATATTGCAACAAAAAAAACATTTAGTAGATGTCGATCCTACGTTTTATATATAGTAGAAGGATTTACATTGAAAATAGTATTTATTTAAAATTTTAAATAACTTATTACATATATATATAACATATTTGTATGTCTAGAAAAAATCCTTTCATCATTAATAATACTTTAAATATATGTTTGACTGATATATCTATATATATCATACTATCACAGACTATAATTCCCAAATTCTCATTTATTTATTCATTTATTTGTGAGTTAACACTAAAATCAATCTAAAACTTACCTAAGAATAAGAACTACGTCTTAAAAGTCTTGTCAAAAAGAAAACAACTGCAAATGCGCAGAATAAATGGCGTGTGCGAGTTCGTGTAAATTGATGGTAAATTGAGGGAAATAGTAAATTATGTCGGTATGGCAGCAAATGTTGGTATTTACCAGAATTTTGAGTAGGGTAAATTAGCTAAAAATTAGGTAAATTAGGTGTTACCATATGTGAAAATTTTATAAGATGTTTAGTAAATAAATTTGAAAACTTTTAACCAAAAATAACAAATAAGTGCAATAAATAAATAAATAAATATTTACATAGGACGTGTGCGAGGTAGGCTAAGTTGCATTCTAAATTATGGAAATTCTAAGTTGTGCCGATAATGTAGTGATGTGTCGATACGTGTTGATAAATGGCTAAATGTGTGCAGTGCAAAAAATCTCCCATTTGGTTAAGCAACAACTTAGCCTAATTCGCACACGTCTATAAGTGCAGTTTAAAAAATCCCTAGGTATTTCAATTTACTTTACCTCAATTTACTCGAACTCGCACACGGTCTAAATTAAAATTTATTTCTTTAATTATGAATGGAAAAAATATTCCCTTATGTTTCATATATACGTTTTTTATTGTTTTTAAATAAGTATAAGATTTTAAATAAACCATAACGAAGAATCGTAATTTTTATTCTTATATCAATTTTATTAATACTGTTAGACAACTTAATACTGTTTATTAATACTGTTATTTAAATATACAATAAAAATGAGCAATAATATTTATCTGTTTAATATATATTTTTTTAAATCTATAACATGTAAATTTTATTATTGCAGGGTACATACGCATATAATAGAACCTTGACTTGCGAACCAATAGTTATGTAACTTAAAAACTGCGACCCATCTGTTGGTTTATATAAAATTTCATACATATTTACATAAAAATGTGACGTTCCTATGTTTGTTCATTTAATTATATAAAAATAATTTAACTGACAGTGTGACGTTGCAGGAAGCAGTTGGGGTAAAATTGTCACAGTGAAAACATATTGGCACAACGCAAACCAAACAATGAGATTTTCTACGTTGCCCCGCACCACAGATACAAGATACAGGGTCATTGTGCCGGCATAAAGAAACTGTGTAACGCAAAGGAAAACAATGAACAATTTTTCATACAAGACTATTAGCGATAGTAGCGAGAGATTCGGGAATGAATTCGCGATAAATGGAATGTTTTGCGCATGAATCCAAAACTGAGAACAGAGCTACTGAACATCTTTACACTTACCCCACCACAGAACCAACAAACAACAAATTCCAAACTCAAAAAATGTACCAATAATATTTTGATTCTAGAATGTTTTCATCGATTTCGTTCATAGGGAATAAAACAGATGCAACAGCACAGATACATTCTGGTAGAGATGCACGCAGAGCGCGAAATTTATAAAAAAAAATATTAAATATATATATGTATATATAATAGCTTGTAAGTAATATCATATGTAAAATATATAGAGTTTGGCACATTTTATAAATATTTTATATGTTTGGAAAATGTTTTCAATAAATAAAATATGAAGTCGGAAAATGCAACACTTACGAAGGTCGTACAATGAACTTGAACTCCGATAAACTCCATTTTAAATTTGGACTTCCAGAGGCATTGACATTTTATGAAGCTTATTTTTCATAATAAAAAATAACATTTATATACTACCTCTCTTATACGTATAGTACACCCATCAAAATATATTATTTTACTGCTGGAGAATACAAAGCAAAGGAATATGTCCTGTGGCATTGGGTGTTATGCATGGTTTGGACACGTTCTGTTAATACAAAACTTTTACCATTTATTTATTTTTATTTTTATTATTTTTTTTCTGCTTTATATCTTCTATAAAATCTGTAGATAAAATATTTACCTTATAAGTTAAGAATCAATATCGTTGTATTTTTATTGGTATGACGTGTGTGTATTTAGCACAAGATTTGCAATGAGATTAATATTTTATAGATATGCAGTAAATATTGGTTGAAAGCTTTCATTACTTATAAAGATATTTACGTGACTTATTTTCAAATTGTTTATACAGGGTCATCTTTTCAATACAACTTACAAGTTTATTAGTTCATTACATTTAACAGACATAAAATAATATAGCAGAAAAAAAAGGTACTCATGCTTGGCACGATAAGTAGTCTGGTCAGAATAAAAATGAAATGCGGGGAAAAAACAAGTACCTCCTTTAATTGAGGAGGAACTTGTTTTAGTTAGCTAGATCTATTTTAGCTAGAGATCTATACAAATTGCCAGTTTTGTAACTGAACTTGCCCGTAATATAACATTGGAATTAGAGTCTTCTCTTTAGAGTGTCCTCTTCATCGATTTAGAGTATTTCTTTAAGTTCAACTTTCTCCATAAATTGTAGTATTAAACCTATAATACAAATTAACTATTTTCGTTTATACAAACTTCCAGTCGAACAAACTTCCAGCACGTATTTTAAGAAGTCTTTCTGTCTTCCTTACAAAACCTACTAGTTCCATTATACTAAGTTCTGTTGTTTCTAAAGGTGCATCCAGGTCAAAGCGAACTTTTGCAGGTTCGATTAACTACGAATGTTCTAAAGTGCACTATTCGAATTTCTATAATTCTTAAAATATTTTAACTCAGTTGCATACAATTCTTAAATCGTCTTAAGTTAAAAGAAAGGTTTTGTTAACTACCTACCATCTTTTTCAAACAACATTGAGATTAAAATTTGGAAGAGAAGAAATGCGGTGATCTTATGATCTTCGCTCGTGGCCATTGATTATCACAACAGTAAACCACTACATTTATCTCACTTTCATTAAACCGAAAGAGATCTGCTAAAGTTAATTAAACAGTATTATAATATTTTTCAACGTAGAAGATCTTAAGAAATTGTAGCCCCCTAAAATCCCTCCCGGATTAAATTGAAAGATTGTTTTTGATACGTTAGTTTCAACTTCATCGGCTGAATAATTGAAAACCATTTCTAATTCACCTGCTACTTCATTTGGTAGTTGTTCTCCATCTTCCATCAACATGTCATCTAATTCCTCCGCATCACTCTGGTTATCGACATTGGGCGGAGGCAAGATAGTAATGCGTGCACTATTAGGGGAATCAATATCATTAGATCCCATCAAAATATCTTCAATATCACATACATATATTAAATTGACACTAGAAATGTTCATTTGAATCTAATGACTGTATTAGAAGTCTTAGTGTATTTATTCAATAATTTATATTTATGGTATACACCAACATTGTACAGTTTCTAAGAAGAATTATAAAATTATACTGAAATACCATAAAAATTCATAAGATAACATTTAATATTTTCAAACATGGGAATATTTTTCGTGATAAGTTGGAGCAAGCTTATTATTTATTTGCTATTACGCTAAAAAATCAATTGAGACTACCTGCTGCAATAATTTCCTTACCGGGAAAAAACTTCAGTACTCGTTTCTTGACATTGTTGCGTTTTCCCAACACCTGACTTTGAGAGATTGTGTGAATTACATATATCACCAAATAGTTTACAATTTATATAGATTCGCTAGAATACACTATTGTAATTAAGATTTAGGTAAAAAATTAAAACAAATTTTCTCCATTTATATAACAGAGGCATAAAAATAAGCAAAAGTCGTATAATTTTAAAATAACACAAAGACGGCTCTGCAAAATCTTCCATTAAATTATAAATAAATCTATACAACTCAGGTTAAAAAAAAAATTGTATATTGTAGGTAAATCATAGTCCTATTGTACAAAAATAACTATAAGCACAAAAACTTTTTAATTAAATTTTAACAAATTTCTAAACACGGCGTTAAGATTGTTGCGTTTTCGCAACATTGTCAGGCAATGGGCTAAAAGATATGAATATGTATTGTTTATTAATTCATCGTGAATGTTTAATAAGATATAATTTTTTTAAATAATTATTAAAATTATCTGCACATTCCTATTTCTCACACGTAGTAAATTTTTCTAAATACAGGCTTTTTAAATAAAAAGTATCCCTTATTGGTAAAGAAAGAAAGTACTACGATGGAGACTAAATTAAAAAATTGATTGGAATTAGTTTAAAGAATTATACAAATCAGATTCTGATATAAATACAAATTCTGTAGGTTTGAACAAGTAGACAAATCGTTATATGGAATGTATCTAACTAATATACGATATATATATGTTAAAGAATAAAAAAAATTACAAAAAACGGGCTTGAGTATAAGCTCATATGACAATATGTCTTTTTCTTCGTTGTAGTCAGCTCTCTTTAATATATTTTATTTAAGTTTTAAGAACTCTGATTTCTTTATCTTTTTTATACCCAACTCAGTTTAATATATATCATATTGGTTTTAGATCAAAATTGTTAAAGTATATTTTATGTTTGCTAAATTTTACAGCACACCTTAGCAGACGAAATAATGAGAGTTTAGTCCTGGTATATTATCAATGTTTTTGTCATTCATTTTTGCTCATACACTCAAACTCTTCAGTAATTGAATGGTGTTTTATAAAACTTGAATATAACTTTTGGATACGATTTCAATACTAGTTTTCGAGCACATCGACTTGGTTTAAGTTAACTATTTGGAGAGATTTTTTCATTAAGCAATAAGTTCTTGTAGCTAGATGACGCCTTCACTTTTAGTAATAATTTTCACGTATATATATAGCTGACTTTAAAGTCAGATATATATTTTGATCTAAGAAACTAAGCTATATTGAAATAACTTTAAGGTTAGATATCTCAAAAACTAAACTATATTGTCAAAATTTTAAGATGAAATACTCAAAAATTAAGCTATATTGATCTTAAGATTATATATCTCAAAAACGAAGCTATTTTGATATAACTTCAACGTTATATATCTCAAAAACTGAATTATATTGTCAGAATTTTAAGATGGAATACCTAAAAACTAAGCTATATTGATCTTAAGATTATATATCTCAAAAACTAAGCTATATTGATATAACTTTAAGGTTAGATATCTCAAAAACTGAATTATATTGTCAGAATTTTAAGGTGGAATACTCAAAAACTAAGCTATATTGATCTTAAGATTATATATTTCAAAAACTAAGCTATATTGATATAACTTTAAGGTTATATATCTCAAAAACTAAACTATATTATCAAAATTTTAAGATGGAATACTCAAAAAATAAGATATTAATCTTAAGATTATATATCTCAAAAACTATATAAAAAACTATCTTATCAAAATTTTATAATAAAATATTTAAAAATTAAGCTATATCGATCTTAAGATTATATATCTCGAAAACTAAGCTATATTAACATAACTTTAAGGTTAAATATCTCAAAAAGTAAGTTAAATTGTCGTAGCTTTAAGGTTACATATCAATCTAATATATTGCGTTATGGATTGTTCAAAATATTTGTCTTTACTTTTATGCATTCTGAAATAGCCGTCCCCGGAAAATCGGAATCGTTTCGACCTTTGTAAATTTACTTCACTGACAATTTAGCAATATTATTAATTATAATTTTATGGACGGAACTGGAATTTTTGCTCCATTGACCACTTTTATTATTTCATCCAAAACCAAGTTTTATATAATTTTAAAAAACCAACCGATTTAACTAATTTGCAACAATTAACGTCATAGAGATTACCGTTATATTAACAGAAGAAACATGTTAAAAACAAAAATAATTTTTTTTTTTTGATATTTTTGGGTTAATTTTTTTTCCTTTCTTTTAACAATATATATATTTTAATATATAAACATATGTATATGTATGTATGTATATATAGTAATGATACGTAATGATACGAGAGATTTGTTGCACAGAAAGCAGTTACTGGTTGCTGTACTCTTACTTTTATGATTCACTGTACGAGAAAAAAAAAGAGGATGCAGAATTAAGGAATCGTTAAAATGACTGACAGCAATACCTATACATACGTACGTGTTTATATACATGTGTGTATCAAATTTTGTTTATCTTTACTTCACACCTAACCTAACCTAAGTTCAAGTGATTAATGACTTTCACTTTAGAAAACAAATAAACTCTTTTGTGATGCCCGTTTAAACAAACATTACATAACATTAAGCTTACCACATAAAAATTAAAACAAAAAGCATAAAAAATAAATCAAATATATAAGCAATTTTATAAATTATATTAAATTAGATTTTGAAAAGTAATTCAATATGTTTGAGCTTGCCATACGCTTATTGTTCTAATTAGAATTTCCTTTTCAACAAATAAAAACTGTAAAAAATTGTACAATAAAACCGGTTCAAGCTTTAAACATGAAAGGCAGTTTCTTTTGTATTCTTACACACACACACACACCACACATATGCCGTCCTTCGCACAATAGCTTAAGAGGGGCACGTCATGAAACATATTAATTACTGCACTTTTTTTCTTGTTTTTGCGATTTAATTGTTCAGCTTTTTGCAAAAATTGATTTTTTTCATACACTGCATACACTGCAACCAAAAACTAAAGTTTCTTTTACCTCTTGTAATTCTTTTTCGATTTCACCGGCTCTTATAACCAATGGACCACGCACGGCATATTCCATTGTTATAAAGTTGGGATTTATATTATCAAGTGCGAGACATTTAGACGACGACATACTGGCCGATGTACTTAGGGCGCAATGCTTATTTAAACTAGTTAAAAATGGCGAAAGCAAACTCCGACAACCACTCGATTCAAACGCTGCTGCTGGACTGAACATACGTTGCTTTGCCTGCGTATGAGAATGCAGCAGCGATTTCCAGCGTCGCCGTACAACAAAACTTGACGTTGATTTACATTTCAATTGCTGTCTGGATGTTGTGGCAGCGAAGTCGCTGGCACATATTGTGGAATTGAGTAAAAGGCGGCTCATTATTGTTATTGTTTACTTCCAATGTGTATAACAGCTGGAAATTGTTATTGTTGTAAGCTGAAAGTAAACAAAAGAAAAATAATAATAAACATCACTAATGTTTACATTCGAAAATCACAAAATCGCAATATAGTAATTAACTTAATTATATTTTTTAATGATTAAATAATATAATAATAATTTTAAATTAAATGAAACATTTAAAATGTGCGTTATTATATGCAATATAATTAAGTTATTAAAATTAACGATAATAACTACAAATTGTAATTAACTAATAAATTATAAAATTATCATAAATTAATGATTAAACAAAATTCGTGAATAATTATTTCATAAATTTATATAAAATCTTTAAAATCTTTATTTATTATGCATTTATGTAAATGGCATTTACACGTACAGCGGCGCATATTCATGTTTTTGTTTTCGTTTATTCTTTGTTGTGTTTCTGATAGAAAATAAAAACGTCAAAGAAATGGAAAATTATTCCAGTTGGAAGTTTTTGTCGAATCTTATCAGTTTGTTATTGGAATTCTTATCACTTCTACGTCAGAGATAGTTTTTTTTACTTATTGACAAGTACAGTAAGGAGAAAAATTTTGCCTACATGACGCAGAGAATATTCTCAAAATGTTTGGAGAGAATTCACCCTACTTTACGCATGCATATTCGTAGGAAGGTAGTTTCAATACTTTGCCACTACGGCCGTGTACGAGTTCGAATAAATTGATGGTAAATGGAGGAAAATAGTAAATTTTGTCGGTATGGCAGGGAATGTTGATATCTACCAGAAATTAGGTGTTATTATTGTAAAAATTTTATAAGAAGTTTAATAAATAAATAAATAAATTTGAAAACTTTTAACCGAAAATAATAAATAAGTGCAATAAATAAATAAAAAAATAAATATTTACATGAGTGTAGCGTAATAAAAACTTTTTGCTTGATAAAAATCTTAACTAATTGTTAATACTTGACAAATTTATCAAGTTTTCAGAGGAGGGGGTAAATATTATCAATTATCATAAATGAAAAAATATACAGTTTTATAACCTTATTAATTTAATTTAAGATAATATTGAAATTGAAACAATTCCGACATATTATTAGCACAAACATTGAAATAAGAGTATTAAATATAAAAAAATAGATATATAAAGAAAAGATATATAAGAAAAATATAATAGATTGTTCTGCTAATCTATTATAGACGCATAAATTGTGCCAATCTATTATATATAGCATAAAGTGTTGGCGACATTAGTAAAATGCTTTATAGTTTCTTTCAAAATTCAACAAGAGAATAAGTATTTGGAATCTATTCACTTCTTTGCTATTCACATCAAATTTCCTACGTTTATAAATATAGCTGTTTGTACAGTACAAATTAGGTAGTACATCAAAGAACGGACAAAAATATTTAGTTAGTAGATTGGTACGCTACATAAATCATTTCAGACGTAACTTAGATTTTCCGAGCACGCCGATTTAACAATGAATTTTAGTTGAATAAGCTTTTTAATCAAATTTTTCCACCAAGCTATATGATTATCTGACTTCTCGAAATATCAAGGTTCAAAATTGTAAATTTGACACGCCATCTAGACTCAACTAGCATACATACATTTAACATTGATTACAGAAAGGACTAGTAATATGAGCAGACTCTTATTAACTGACTTTAATAAGATCCGTGGTTAAATGGGTGCGCCAAAAAAATGGCCGAAATCGTTCCTGTTTATGTATTATTGCTTGGTTTATTCAAACATTTCAAATATTATGAAATTTGGCAGAGCGGCCACTTATTACAAAATTTTTTAATAATTTATTCGTCATATTTGTGCTTTTAAAACTTTTAAAACTTTTATAAAACGGTTCTGTGGTCCATTCACATATATAACCTTTATTAGTTTGTTTAATAGTTTAATATTAAAAAATGTTTAAAAGTTAAGATTTCCTAATCACTAATTTAAACAAAAAATTTAAATTTACTTGAAATCGTACGTCTTTATAATGATTATTTAGATTTTAAAGTAAATATGTGTTAATTAAAAGTTTTAACGCAGTTCATTTTGTATGAAGAATAAACAATTTATTTAAATTGTTTATGTACACATCACCTCATCAATCATAATATTTTATACTTTCATAAAATATACATTTATATTTATTCAAAAAAGTAAATAGTTATTCAGTAAAGTACTCAAAAACCTACATACATATGATTTAATGTTTATTTAATTAAATTTTAATTAAACAGGTGAAAAATGTCTTTACAAACTCCATACTAACATATCGACATGTAAATTATATTAAGATAATTAGTCAAAAATTGAAGATACTTTCAGAATTAAATAAAAAAATCTAATATAAACAGAACTGTACGAGAACATTTTAAAGCATGCTCGATTATATTCAAGCATTTGAACAGCTAAAGTGCTGTTCACACTAACAAATTTCTTGATTGCAGTTGTAACATGAACCTTGTTAGAATGAGGGATGTTTCGTTTATATACGCAAAATAGGTAATCATGCTAAAAGACTGAATCTCCATTTCAACTATATTTACCGCTGTTGTGGTGAGGATGACGAAAGTGCCTTCCACCAGCTTTGTTTCTGTCCGGCACATGCGCGGCTTTCGGGGGCTTTCTTTTTTGAAGATCTTCGCGAACTTCGAGACATCCCTCTAAATAGCATTATAAGCTTTATTAAAGCTTCTAGATGGTTTTAGCTATAATACGGTAGCACAATGGGCCTGTGGGTCTAAGTGGATCCCCCTGGGATCGCCGGTATAATCTAACCTAAACTATTACAACCGTTAATACAGTTTGATGTCAAGTGGCAGTTAAGTTTCAACAAAACAAATGTGTTAGTGTGAACACTATTTTTCAAAAAAACCAATGACTATGTGTTAAGTATCGATCTGAACAAAATTTAATTAAATTAAACAGCTTACTTGCTCTATTTTATATAGTTTTAAACAACTACGTATAACATCGAATGCTCAAACACTATAAATTCATCAAACAATTCCAAAAAGCTGACTTCTCTCCAGGATTTGATTGAACAACATCCCGACTATTCGAAGCTCCACTGTAGCATAATAAATTTGACGCTTAAAGGGGCTTGTCTTCATTCTCAATACTATCAATTTTTTGCCGTGATTATTTTTCCATCCTAATCATCTACATAAATATTATATATAAATAAGACTTGTATATACAATAGAAACTTATAAGCAAAAAGCTGTATGTCGATTAAAATATTGAAATTGTTTTGAAAATATTTTGCGCAGTTTTGGCAAAATTCCCAATTGAATATATGACAAAAAAAACAAAACAAAATTAAACAATAAATTTTTATATTCTTTATTTTTAATTAATTTATTTATTCTTATTAATGCGTTTCAGTGTGAAAATGTTATTTTATAATTATAAACACAAATATAAAAAATTTCTAAAATTATATAGCAACAAAAGATTAACAAATATTTTTATATAAATATAAAATATAAACTATAAGAAAAAAATTAAAATTGCAATAATTTTTAATATAAAAATATATTCTTAAATTTTCTAGTACAAAATCATCCACACTTCCCTTTTGAAATAATAATCATTTCATAGGTTAAGTTAAGTTGAATTGACAGTCTAATATGCACCTCTCCCATCCACATTACTCTATTCTATACGATCATTGTTCTTATAATCAAAATTCACTTATATTATATTTCCACTGGCTTCATTAGGGCTAACAAAGTCAGTGGAAAAGTACTATTAAGCACAAATAATGACCCGTTGTAATACCATAGAGAATATAGTAGGTATACAGTTGTATGTTTTCAGTGAAAACCATATAGATTTTATAAAAGATCCATATATTTGTTTAAAAAACAACCCAAGTGTACTTTAAAGCTTTATTAACAGTCTCAATTTAAACTGATTTTTGAAACTATTTTTATTTAACGGATTGACAAAAATAGTTAATATCTCTGAAAATTCTTAAAATATCTCAAGTAAAACAGAAACAACAACAAAAATTTCAAGAAATTAACTAATATTTTTGTTGTTTCTACATTACTGCTCGAATCCTTTTACAAAATGTTATTCTAGGTTAGCCACGCATACTACAGTCTTCAGTGATCTCCAGTGATGTATATGGTAAGCTAGAGGTGATTAGGTGTTAAATTATTTTCTTGACTATATAATCTATAGATAATACACTGCAAAAACATTGGTCAAAAAAATATATTTCCGTACAACCTAGGCTACACTCTTGGCGATGTTAGCTGGAGATAGTTTGAGACAGGAGAGCTAATTATTATTTAAAATCATTAATTGTGTGTTAAACTTCAGAACTATTGTGTCTCTAAACTTAGTCACATGGGCAAATTTTAGATATATCAGTACACAACGATTATCTGTTCTTATAGTTAAGAAAAGTGCAGAGCAGGACAAAAGCAGATCATATTCGCTTCAGTTTCTTTTTGAAACGAATCCTTAGTTTGTTAGTTTAATTGTAAAGGAGTGGGATGTTATGCTCTATATAGGTACACCTCTTAATTGTACAATCTATGCAGTGACGCGACAAAATGAATAAATTATATAGTCTTCAGGCTATAGTTTTATTCGTGCATGATCATCACTGTTTTTATAATTGAATACATTTTTACGCCTTATCTATACTTAGATCATATCGTATATATTACAAATAACAGAAGCCAATTTATTTACATTAATTATATTCTTATTTTATAGACTTTTTAGTGTGTGTCTATAAATAATGCAAATATAATGGAAAATAAATTCTCATTAATCAGACAATGTCATTCTAGGCACAACTGTTAATTTGGCTTCATTGAAAAAGTGTTAATAATACAATTATTTTTACTAATTTATAATTAATGGAAATATTTATTTCTCAGCTGTTTTTATAATTAATAATTTATTGCTTACTTGTAGGCAAATACGTATTAAATTTTTATGGTAGTAAACAAAATTCGTTTACTTAATTTCAACTAAATTAAATTAAATTAAATTAGAACTGCACATGTA